TCAATCAAACAGCAATATGTACGGGCAACAACAAGGATATGGACAACAACAACAACAGGTAGATATTCTAGATTTTTCGAACTCGTTCGGCTACTTTGAGCGAGCGAAAAGAAGTTTTCCGTCTCTGGGAAATGGTTTTGATTTGAAATTTAAACAGATTTAAGAAATCTATAAGTAGAAGTCGTTATTTATTGTTAAAATTAAAAAGAATAGCTTTTTCAAATCCTGATCAATGAAATCCGCGGAAGTTTAATCCATCAACACCTTAGCAATTAGTGTTCAGTTATCTAACTTTGAATGGCTTTTCTTGCGATTATCCTAGTCATTTTTCGCGTGATTTCCAGTCGAAATGACGCATCTTCTAGTTCTTTTCTTTTTGTTGTTGATTTGGCGTGAGAATGATAGGGGATTGTGCCGGGAAATCGTCGATCAAGTAGACGCGCGTCAAACCTTTCAACATTCCCATGCCCTTGACTTGCTCTTACTTTTTTTATCAGACAATCAAGTATTTAGTTGTTGAAAATCAATGGTATTTTGCTAAAAAGCAATGGTATTTTGTTAAAAATCAATTTACTGTACGTGTATCAGTTTGCAATGAGTTTGAAATGTTCAATAAAGTAAAGAAATGAATGGTAAAGAATTTTGCGGGGGAGGAGAATTGAACTCTCGACCTTCTGCTTACTGAATAGATGCCGAGCTATCAGCTAAAGCTGGATAGCTTTAACACTGAGCTATCAGCGCCTTCTTTGAAGAGGGAATGGGGAAGTCAAGGAAGAGAAAGAAAGGAAGGAAGGGAAGGAAGGAAGAGAAGGAAGAGAAAGAAAGGAAGGAAGGGAAGGAAGAAAGAGAAGGAATTACTCGGGCTTTCAGAATACAATAATATACACTTTTGTCTAGAAAATTGTCTGTTTGTCTGTCTGTCTAAGATACTTCACTTTTACTTTACAAAAGTACTTCTACTTTACATCACGAGAAGTTATTCGAACGGTCAGTTATTCGAACGTTTTAGTACGGCCAATCCACCCAAAGCCCATACTATCAGCAACAGCAACAACAGCAACAGCAACAACCACAACAATATGGAACTACGCAAGCTTATGGAATGCAGCCACAGGTAGACTTTAAAACTCGATATTCCTGAATACTCGATAACTGAAGAATCCCAAATGACTTTTCCAGTACGAGCAAAGCTCGAACTACAATCAGAATCAACAACAGTACGGAAACACTCAGCAATATGCGAATAATCAGGCGAGTTTTGTTTTGTCGAATAAGCAAAAACGAAATTTGCTTAACAAATGAATAAGCTTTTAACCTTTAAGGCAATTTTAACTCCAAGTAACTTTAACTTTAACTCAACTCAAAGTTTCAGTTCGATCAGACCACTCAAAGCTACAACTATCAACAACAGAACAATCAATACCAACAACAATTTGGCAGCAGCACTCAATCTCCATATGGAAATAATCAAGTAAGCCAAAATTTTTGGTTATTGCACATTTGATACGAGCCCCGTCCCAATCTAACTTTGAGCTGAAATTTCTCGGTGTTGGGTGGTCCAGTTTAAATGTTCTTAATATCATTAGATACGCCAAGTTTTTCTCTATCGATTGGTATAAAAACTATTTCAATTGGACCACCCAACAACAAGATATTTGAGCTCAAAGTTGGATAGCGAATGGCAAAAGAGACGGGGCGCCTATAAAAGGAACGACGCCCCGCCCACTTTGCCATTGGCAATCAAACTTTGAGCTGAAATTTCTTGGTGTTGGGCTGTTCAATTTAAATGTTCTTGACATCATTGGATGCGCCAAGTCTTTCTCTATCGATTGGTACAAAAACTATCTAAATTGGACCACCCAACACCAAGAAATTTCAGCTCAAAGTTAGATTGCCGATGGCAAAAGGGGCGGGGCGCAAATAAAAGGTTCAACAACCGCTTGTTGGACGCATTGGACGTGTCAAATGTCCCACAATCAAAATTTTTGAATATTCGAAAACTAACGCAATGAGAACCGCTTCTAAATGTTGTGCTAGAGCCTTGAAAGATCTGATATTTACACTACTGGCAACTGATTGATTACCAGATTCATTTCAATGTCAATTTCAATGTCAAGTTCAATATCAATTTCAATGTCAATTTCAATGTCAATTCATAGCCAAATTGGATCTTGTCAAGTTGAGTTCTCATCTCACATACAGCCAATGCTAGTTCATGTTAAAAGCTCTGATAACTTTCGCACTAGAGCTAGAGCTAGAGCTAGAGCTAGAGCTAGAGCTAGAGCTAGAGCTAGAGCTAGAGCTAGAGCTAGAGCTAGAGCTAAAGCTAGAGCTAGAGCTAGAGCTAAAGCTAGAGCTAAAGCTAGAGCTAGAGCTAGAGCTAGAGCTAGAGCTAGAGCTAGAGCTAGAGCTAGAGCTAGAGCTAGAGCTAGAGCTAGAGCTAGAGCTAGAGCAATCTGAGACAGAAGCTGTAGAATCAAATTAGAATCAAATTTTTGATAAGTTCACAGATTTCTATTGAAATTACGAGCGGGATTGCCTATCGGATAGAATCACTTTTCTTTCAGCAAGTGAGCGCCTCGGAAATGCAACAACAGTGTGCCCCAGTTTGTCAACAAATGTCGCAGGTGATTTTCGACTTTCATTCCAATTTCATTCCAATTTAAGTTTAACTTTTTACTCAATTTGTAATAGAATTTTTTTTTGAGTTCAGACAAAAACGAATTGAAATCCGATACTCAGTGGTTATTTTAGAATCAAGACCAACAACAGAGCCAACAACAGAGCCAACAACAAGGCCAACAACAGCTTGGGTCGACTAGCTTTGGGTGGGTATTATAGTTGAACGAAGAAAATTCTTTAGATATTTTACCAAAAACATTTCAACTTTTCAGAAACCAACAACAAAACACACAAACCTCTCAACAACAGTACGGAATGTCGGCTCAAATGGACTGCACACAGTACTGCAATGGATACAACGCAGGATTGGTGAGTTGAGAAATGAAAAAGAAATGAAAAAAGCAAAGAAATGAAGGTATTGCATAGAAAAATTGATTCTTTAAATGAGAAATAGCTTTTTTATTGGAAAAATAGAGATTTGGAAGCTGGAAATGCGCGCCGCCGCTTTTGCCATTGGCAAACTAACTTTGGGCTCAAATATCTTGATCTTGGACTATTCAATTTGAATACTCTTGGTATCATTAAACGCGCCAAGTTCTCCTCTGTCGATTGGTACCAAAACTATTTCAATTGGACCACCCAACACCAAGATATTTGAGCTCAAAGTTAGATAGCCAATGGCGGTAATGACAAGGGAGTTACAGACGCGCGAAAGTGGCGATCTTTTTTCAAATATGATATTTCATTGTCCAGTAGTGCAGGTACCTGAGTAGACTTCAAAGCTGTTCCCGTAAATGCTCTAATAGAAAGCCACAAAATCACGTCGCAAATCCGCGGGCACACGCGTCCCGCCCATTTTTCCATTGGCTAACTTTGAGCTGAAATATCTTGGTGTTGGGCCGTTCAATTTCAAATATTCTTGGTATCATTAGATGCTCTAATTCTTCCTCTGTCAATTGGTACCAAAAACTATTCAATTGAATTACCCAACACCAAGAAATTTGAGCTCAAAGTTAGATTGTCAATGGCAAAAAAGGCGGGCGCGGTGCCACAATCAATTTTTGCCCAGTCTTTGAAGATCGCTTCTTGTAATTAGCCCATTACTGAACTATAACTTTTGATTCGAAATTAAAATAGATTTGATCTTCTATGAGTTTCCATTAGTTTAGAATTGGTATTGAATTGGTATTGAACGTAATTGGTATTGAATCGAATTCATATTCGCAATCTCAACTAGAGTGTGTTCCTCTCAAGAAATCGTGCAAAATAGCAAAACGATTGCATTTAAAATCAAACCGAATATCTTACATATTGTAGAATTGTAGAAGATATTCAAGAAACTCAGTTGATTTCGACCCAACCCGTTTCCTATTTCACGTAATTTCTTGAGAGGAACACCCTCTAAGCCTAAGCCTCAAATCTCGATCCTTTTTCAGCAATCCTCTCAATCTCAACAACAATTCGGCCGAAAGCGACGAGCGATTCGAGCGTGAAAAGTGTACAAATTTCGATGTGAAAAGTTTATTCGATCAATATAATAAAATAAACATATGAAAACTCAATCTGAAATCACAAAAATCATGAAATGAGAAGCTCTTTAGCTCTTTAGAAGCTCTTTAGAAGCTCTTTAGAAGCTCTTTAGCTTTTTAGAAGCTCTTCAGAAGCTCTTTAGCTCTTTAGAAGCTCTTCAGAAGCTCTTTAGCTCTTTAAAAGCTTTTTAGAAGCCCTTTAGCTCTTTAGAAGCTCTTTAGAAGTTCTTTAGAAGTTCTTTAGAAGCTCTTTGGCTCTTTAGCTCTTTAGAAGTTCTTTAGAAGCTCTTTAGAAGCTCTTTAGCTCTTTAGAAGCTCTTTAGAATCTCTTTAGAAGCTCTTTAGAAGCTCTTTAGAAGCTCTTTAGAAGCTCTTTAGAAGTTCTTTAGAAGCTTTTTAGAAGCTCTTTAGCTCTTTAGAAGCTCTTTAGCTTTTAGAAGCTCTTTAGAAGCTCTTTAGAAGCTCTTTAGCTCTTTAGAGGCTCTTTAGCTCTTTAGAAGCTCTTTAGAATCTCTTTAGAAGCTCTTTAGAAGAAACGTGAACAAATGGTGCAGAAAAAAAAGCAAAAACACAGCAAAAGATTTTATTTATTCATTGAAAAATCTTGAGAATACAGAAAAACAGCTATCAAAAAAGTCAAAAAAGGGGGAAAAAGGCAAAAAAGTCAAAGAAGGGAAAAAACTTCTGGACAAGACCCAACTGGGCTCTTTATCTTATCACTTTCCGTCAATGGTGTCCCTTTTCTCATTTCCTCACAAAAAAGTTTCCCAAAATTTATTCATTCCGCTAAAAACTTATCAATAAATAAAGAGAAGGGCTTTATTTTTTTTTGGCATTTTTGGCATTTCGATGGCGGTTTTGGGTGCAATTCTTGAGCATGGATTGCAACGAGTTTTACCTTTACTTCACTCATCGTTTTTCACCGGCAACTCGGACGATTCGCTCACCGATGCGGCAACACTGAGGATTTTGGCGGAGAATATTCGATATTATGGTAATGATTGGATTTGAGTTGAAATTTACTTCTTTGCTATGTAAAAAAATCGTGTAAAAATGATTAAAAAGCGGCAAAAAAGAGCTGATTTTTCATCATTTTTCAATCACTTTTTTTCTAAGCGCTGGTTAAAGCTAAAAATATGTTTTATATCTCGAAAAATTACCCATTTTCTCTACTTTAATTTAATATTAAAACATGGAGAAATAAACGTACTCGTGTCAAGATATGAGCGTTTATTTGAGAGTAAACTGACTCTCAGCTTGAGAGACGACGCGACGCTCCTATAGGATGGGGTATTATTGCAGAATTTACAGATAGGTAGGCTAGTTTCCACAACTAGCCTACCTTTTTCGCGCAACTGGGTCGTTTGCGCAACTTTACAATGCCCTACGAAAGATCAGGATTGGTGATCAAATTGGGGTAGGCTAGTTTCCGCAATTTTTTTTAGGCTTAGCGCAACTCGCCATAACTTTCTTCCAAGTTAGCCAATCTTTATGATTTTGGTGTCATTTTGTAGATCTCAATAAGTGCAACAGAATGAAACTAAAGTCATAAAGATTGGCCGACTTAGAAACAAAGTTATGGCGAGTTGCGCTAAAGGACCCTATTGCGCAACATAAAATTGCGAAAATTAGCCTACCCCAAGAAAAGCGCAAAAAGAGCGTTTAGAAAATGCCTTTGCTAACTAGCACCTTTTAGAAAACATGATTTGAACGATTTGATTTGAGAGGAAGACACTCTAGTGCCCATGTTTAATGCACTGTTAGGTTATAGCTCCGTACACCCGATAACCCAGAAGAATCGTTTTTTCAAAACAAAAGCTATCTAGAAAATCTCAGTATTCAATTGCTAAATTAACCAAAACTGGCGAGAACAGTTTCCACAATTTTTTTTAGGGTTATTTGGGTCGTTTGCGCAACTCGCCATAACTTTCTTCTCAGTGAGCCAATCTTTATGATATTGGTTTCATTTTGTAGATCTCAATAAGTGCAACAAAATGAAACTAAAGTCATAAAGATTGGCCGACTTAGAAGAAAGTTATGGCAAGTTGCGCCTCAGTTGCGCAAATAACCCTGTTGCGGAAAGAAAATTGTAGAAAATTGCGGAAATTAGCCTATCCCACAGATCGCTTTACGTTTCAAATGAAATTTGCATATAAAAGATAAGAAAAGATCGAATTACGCCGAAAATTTCTAAGTTCTAAAGCAATTTCATCATTTTTTAGTTGGCAAATGTTTGCAAATGAAAGCTAACGTTCTTTTAGCAGTTAAACATCAAAAAAACCTTTGGATAACATGGCTAGGCTATGACTATGATATGACTAGGCTTTTGAAAGGATACTTGATCTCATTTTTAATCTTAAAGCTTGAAATTTTACGTAAAACTTTTGAATTTGGCTTTCTTTCATAAAACTTTCATCAAAAACTGAAATGTAGCTATTCCTCGAGTTTTAGTAAGCGTTTTAGTAAGCTAACTTTCAGCATAACTTTCAGCATAACTTTCAGCGTAACTTTTTAGACGCCGTTCAACGAGTGTCGCTGAAACAAGCAGCCGAATCGATCGAGAGTTTCCTCCAATTGATCTCTTACTCATCAGCTCTGGTATCAAAACTGAGTCTTGACGTCGATCGATGGATTGAAATCCTCAAAGAAGTCCCGCCAAGTATGACAAGGGAAAAGATTGCAGCGCCGATTGCAAAATCAAAAGTTCGGAAGAGAAAGGAACAAAGAGTGAGGAAATGTTTGAAAATGCTAAAAACTAGTTATTGTAAGTAAAAAAGAGGTATATTAGCTTGTTTTTCAGCTAAATCGTTTCCACCTGGTTGAGGAAGAGTCCGAGCAACGGGAGAATCAAATGCAAACATCTTTGCCACCTGTAGGTTTTAAAAGTTGAGATTTTTAAAGGTTTAAATGAGATTCTATGAAGTTTAACTTGTAAATTTATCAAAAAACAGTTAAGAGGAGATAGGAGAAGATAGATAGATAGATAGATGGATAGATGGATGGATGGATAGATAGATGGATGGATAGATAGATAGATAGATAGATAGATGGATAGATGGATGGATGGATAGATAGATGGATGGATAGATAGATAGATAGATAGATAGATGGATAGATGGATGGATAGATAGATAGATAGATAGATAGATGGATGGATGGATAGATGGATAGATAGATAGATGGATGGATGGATAGATAGATAGATAGATGGATAAATAGATGGGGAGATAGATGGATAGATGGATAGATAGATGGATAGATAGATGGATAGATAGATGGATAAATAGATGGATAGATAGATAGATAAATAGATGGATAGATAGATAGATAGATAGATAGATGGATGGATAGATAGATGGATAGATAGATAGATGGATAGATAGATGGATAGATAGATAGATGGATAGATAGATGGATAGATATATAGATAGATAGATAGATGGATAGATGGATAGATGGATATGTCGTAGCCGTTTACAAAACTCAGCCGCTAACGAATGAGGGTATTTCCGGGCATCAAATCAAAAAGTCACCCACATAAAAAATGTTCATAATACATATATTTTATAATAAATTTTTGAAATTAGCTCATTTGGTTCAGTAGAAAATTTTTTTTGAGCCCCCAAAGTTTAGGTTCAAAAATGCCCTAAAATGGCTATAAAAAATTTTCTACTTAGCCAAAAAACTTGCCTAATAGCTCATTTTGTAGCCAATTTGATGTAGTTTCTTAAAGCTACATTGAACATTTGTTTTTCAAAGCTAGGAGAAAGAGGGCGAGGAACGACTTCAGTTGAACTCCGTCGCTGTTTTCACATTTGGGAATTGCCCTGAATTTGTTCCTCGCCCTCTTTCTCCTACTTTCAACGAAAAATTGTTTTAGATGGCTTTACTTTAAGAAACTCCTGGATAAGCTCCGATTTTAGTTTTATCCAACCGAACTTAAAACGTATAATTTGGTGGATGATTCTTTTACCGACGACGAGAACTTCATCGAAATCAATATGGCTACAGTTTGGGAGCGGAAAATTGTCAATTTCTATATGGTTTGTTTAGAAAGTTCATTAGATCAGCTATTAGATCAGCTATTAGATCAGCCTATTTTATTTTGGTAATGAAAATCTTACAGAAAGCCTACAACACTACCAAAATCGAGCGCTTCTCTAAAGCCGACATTCTCGTTTTCGCGTTAACGATTTTGACGGGAGCACAGGAAATCCTCGGATTCGCAGCTTTTGTATGATTTTGAGCTCTTGGTTGTAACCTGAAAAGGAGAAAAAAGACTCTAGACAAAGTTATGAAGCTAAGAAGTTACCTTCAAAGCTTGACTACGCATTCAAAATACCGTCACTGCAGTCAGCAGCCTGATTTTTGTCTCACTGAGAGCTCAATAGGATAGCTCAGTGGTTAGAGCATTTGCATTTGAGGGTTGAGAGTTCAATCACCTCTCCGGGAATCTTTCTTTGTCATTCCTTTATCTACTATATATGTTACAGTAGAAATCCGTCCAATTTCTAGAATCTAGATCTGATTCTAGATCTGATTCTAGATCTGATTCTAGATCGGAAGGATTTCTAGAATTGGAAGGACGGATCGGACGTCGGATCTAGAATCCGTCTAGATCGGAAGGATTTCTAGATCGGACCTAACTTATAAAAGAGCTGCGTCTATCTGTCTGTCACTACTCCTCTGCACCCAGTGGACCATTTCAAATGACTCATACTTAGTTTGGCTTAGAATTCTATGTACTTCTGCAACAGGTTTTTAAATTTTTACAAAACCAAAAGTGCTGACGCGGGTGGGAGTCGAACCTGAGTCGCGTGGGCTAGAGACAAGTGCGCTCGCACTGCGCCATCCATTCTGCGCCATCCATTCTGCGCCATTCATCCCGCGCCATCGATCCTACGGGTCGTATGGACTAGAGCGAAAGGGCGCTCGCACTGCGCCATCGAGCAGCCGAGTGGTTAACGCGCGTGTCTCTCAAACGAACGGAAGAGAGAGGTCGCAGGTTCGACCCCTCTGCACTGTGAAGAGTCTGGAGAGGTGTAGTATAAGTGGGAGCTTCGGCAACGGTGAAATACCACTACTTTCACTGATTCCTTACTTACTCGGTGACACGGGAGCTTGAGTTTACTCTTCCTTCTAGTATTAAGTGTGGTCACTTGGTGACTGCGCCAATTCTTTTGCTCTTTGCTTCTTTTTTTGTTGCGAAGCAGCAGCTAAGCTATTGGTTTTCTATAAAAGTGCTTGCAGAACCCAAAATCTTGGAAATTTCCGAAACTTTGTGCCGAAGACAATGAAAATCTCGATTCTGAGCAACTGGGAAATTTGACGAAAGTTTCGTGCATTGTAAGTTTTCAATTCATTGAGCTAAAAACATATCAAGTTTCGATTTTAATTCCAATCAGAACCAGCAATCAGAACTAGCAATCGAAACTATCAAAAGTAAAAGCAAAAGTTTTTAGTTTGCGCACATGATCGCCCGAATCACTCGAGTCCAGAATGGGAGTTGGATTCAGAAAATGATCATTGAAAATGTTATCGAGAAGATAGAACAGGTAAATGACTTTAAATGACTTTGACTTTAAACCAAAAATCGAAATAAATAAACATTTCTCATCAAATATTCAGCTAACGGAAATCTCTGGCCTCTTGATCCAAGCGGCTTTCTATGATGAGGAGTTCGAACTCGCCGACTCGTCGCTCACAAATCCGCTCGATTATTTACGGTAGTCTTGCTTGCAGTTTAATCAATTAGAGTCAATCAATCAATCAATCAATCAATCAATCAGCTTTTGAATAGAAAATCAATGAAATCACCATATTTTCAGCCTTCTGGATGCATTACTTTTGTGCTTCGACCAAGAGATCCCAATCTCGCTCGACTTGATCAAAAATCTCGTTGTAAACTGGTGAGTAAAGCCTGCTAGGATGCTAGGATAACTTTTGAACTTTTAAATTAACTCTAAATGAACTCTAAATGTTTTTATGTCTTTTAATGTCTTTTAAGACCTATTTGCTTAAAGGTTAGACCTTAGAACGCAGAACTTTACCAGGAAAAGGCACCAGATCAAGGTGACCTTTTTGTATTTGTTTTTTTATAGAGCTTTAAAGATAGAGCTAGTATTTGATAGGGCTTTGAATGAGGATTCCGAATCAGCTTTTAGCTCTTCCAATGGAGCTCTGTATCGCAAGATATCTGAGTTTAAAGACAAATCCGACAGTATTACAGGGTGATCAAGAATTACCGCAACACACAAAAGGCCTGGCTTTTAACCAAATATGCAACCCATCTCGAAAAGTTAACATAAATACCTTTATTCAATATATAACGGTAACAAATTAAGAGGATCTTGGATCAAGAGGCCAGAGATTTCCGTTAGCTGAATATTTTGATGAGAAATGTTATTTTATTTAAATAAAACCCATAACAACTCCGAAAAAAAAGATCTAAACTTTGATGCCAATTCTCTTGCAGTACAGGGCTCCATTGGAAGAGCTAAAAGCTGAGTCGGAATCCTCATTCAAAGCTCTATCAAATCCTGGCTCTATCTTTAAAGCTCTATAAAAAACAAATACAAGAAGGCCACCTTGATCTGACCGCCTCTCCCTAGTTAATGTTAGTTTTTCTACAAAAGCTTTTTGCAGGTACAAACTCGAAGAAGAGCTTGAAATCGGTGAAAAAGGTGCTGCGCAATTTTTTGGCGAAAATGTCTTGCTCAGCATTTCAAAAAACGCAAAAGCTGGCAATATCGGTGTCAGACTTGAATTGCTGAGGCAACTCTTTGAAGTCAACATAAACAGGTATCATATTAGGTTGGTGAATTGGAAACTGCGGGACTTTGAACTAAATTTATGTTGAACAAAATTTGTTCAACATAAAACCATGAATTCATTTGAAATAATTTCCATTATTATTGATTATATTAGTGCTAAATTGGTGCAAGTGACACACACTATTCTATTGGGTTGGTGGAAAAGTCCTTTCGGATTTTTTGGGAGAGTACCTTAAATTTGTCGAATTTAGACGTTTTATAGCTCATCCGAAAGCTGAATTCAAGACGGATCGATTGGTAAAAACCGTTTTGAGATATCTCTTTTCTAAAAGTTTTTAGAGCTATTTTAATAAAGGACGGCAGAGACAAAAAATGGCTGTTTTCACGTTTCGTTAGTTTTCCGTGCAGAAACCTCGGCTAAAAACATGTGTTTCGTGATCAGCGTCAAAAACAACCCCTAGACACGCATTTTCAGAAAATTAGCAAAAAATTTTTGACAAATATTGTCACCGGTGGAAGTCGAACCAGCGACCCTCAGATCAATAGCCTTTCCGCCCCTTTTCGCGATTTTCTCGTTTTTTTTTTTGTTTTATCATTGTTTGATGTTGTTAGAGGGCTTTTTCAGGGTACAAAAGAAAGAAAAAAAAAAGAAAGAAAATCGCGAACGGCTATTGATCTGAGGGTCGCTGGTTCGACTTCCACCGGTGACAATATTTGTCAAAAATTTTTTGCTAATTTTCTGAAAATGCGTGTCTAGGGGTTGTTTTTGACGCTGATCACGAAACACATGTTTTTAGCCGAGGTTTCTGCACGGAAAACTAACGAAACGTGAAAACAGCCATTTTTTGTCTCTGCCGTCCTTTATTAAAATAGCTCTAAAAACTTTTAGAAAAGAGATATCTCAAAACGGTTTTTACCAATCGATCCGTCTTGAATTCAGCTTTCGGATGAGCTATAAAACGTCTAAATTCGACAAATTTAAGGTACTCTCCCAAAAAAATCCGAAAGGACTTTTCCACCAACCCAATATTAGGTTGATGCATAAGTGTTTTTGTTCCTTTTCGTCTGCCGTTTCAAGCCAACAAATGCACGAATTAAACTACGGTTGATTTCATTAGAAAAAGCAATTATTTTTCTGCAAAATAACATTAAAACGGGTTTAAAAATATTTAATGCCTGGATTTTCTTGAGAGTATGAAGTCGGGTAGTCAAAAAGGGCTAACTCGATGATGCGGTTTAGACACCTTAGCTAAAGAAAACCTATCTTCGTGTCAATAGATAAAAGATAGAGAAAAAAAACGTTTGATATTTCGCCAAAATTTCAGAGAAATTCATTCAGCCAATTTTTCCGTAGAGTTTTTTATAGATTTTTACGAAAAAGGCGTTTTTCACTCTCGAATTTGCTTGAAAGTGAACCGAAATTCATTTAAAAAGATGTAAATTCAACAAAAAAACACTTTTTTTATAGAGCAAACTATAGATTAATTCGTGAATTTGTTACTTTTTAACAGAAGTACGAAAAAAACGAAAACACTTATGCATCAACCTAATATTAAAAATCAGTTGGAATCAGTCGCTGATCCTTGGGCTAGAACAAAGCCAGTCTTGTTGTCTAGAGTGAAGCGAGGTCTAACGTCTGATCTAGAATCAAGCCGATCACTCTAAATCTTACTCTGAATCGGATGCCTGTCTTAGAGTGATCGGCTTGATTCTAGATCGAACGTTGGACCTTAATTCACTCTAAATCGAACATCCGATCTATTGGGTTGGTGAATTGAAAACTGCGGGACTTTGAACTAAAATTTGTTCAACATAAAACCATCGAATCATTCTAAATAATTTCCATTATTATTGACGACTTCTGCCCATTTTACAGGCAATTTGCGGATTCCTCTTTCGTAGTAGGATTTCGTTTTTGAATCGAAAAACTTTCAAAGCCAATTTTTGACTACTTCTTCCGAATCGAAGTGTTCTCCCGCAAGTCGTCAATAATAATGGAAACCATGGGGCACCTAAGCCCCAAGTTTCGATTTAAATCCAAAGGTATGAAGGTACCTTAGCAGTGTAGCATGATCAACCCCTAACTCTTCTTCCAATTCACGCGATGATACCCGAGGGTCGTTGGTAATGAGTTCGAGTAATTTGGAATCATTCAGGTGGGGTTCAACATCATCCATGTTGAAGTAAACAAACCCCCCTTTCAGCTGGTTCTATGCTGTTGTTTTCTTTAGCTGCTTAATAAATTTACGCTTAAATCCTGTGCTATTAGGTTGGTGAATTGAAAGTTGCCGGACTTTGAACTAAAATTTGTTCAACATAAAACCATAGATTCATTCCAAATAATTTCCATTATTATTGACGACTTCTGCCCATTTTACAGGCAATTTGCGGATTCCTCTTTCGTAGTAGGATTTTGGTTTGTGTGTGAGACAAGTGTGAGACTCAAAAATCGAGGACTGGAGATGGAGACTGGAGATCCCAGTTTGAGCACTTTCTTCAAAAGAAACCCATTTTGGTGTCAATAGAAAAGTTGTAGAGAATCAAAAATCAGGCTCATAGCCAAATTTCCAAAAAGATACACTTATTAGTTTCGCTTAACATGCAAGTTTTGTGAAAATTCGTAAATTTGGCGTAAATTTGGCATTTCTTGAACACCAGTTTTTGAATCGTTCTGAAAATTAGGATATAAGCTTGATTTTTGATTCTCTACAACTTTTCCATTGACACCAAAATGGGTTTCTTTTGAAGAAAGTGCTCAAACTGTCACATATGACAATATGCGACAGTTTTCAATTCACCAACCCAATAGATACCAAAAAGCGGTACTTTTCCGTCATAAATCCGCAAAAATAGCCCCTGATCATTTAATAGTCAAAAATCGATCAATTAAATCAAAATCAAAAATAAATCAAAATAAGATCAATGAGGAATCCATGCCGTAGCAAGAACCATTCGTAGAAATCGTCCTTCCCCATTTCTTGTCCATGGACCATTTCTTGTCGGACATTCAGCTAAATAAGCTTTAGCCTTCCTATTTAGGTCCTTTAAAGCTCCTTTAGAGCTCCTCTATAGTTCCTATTTAGGTCCTTTAAAGCTCCATGAAAGCTCCTTTCAGCTAAATAAGCTTTAGCCTACAAAGTAGCTGTTTCTTGTCGGACCATGCATTCAGCAAGCATCAATTTTCAATTCACCAACCCAATATTATTGAGTTTTTGGCAAAAGAAACACATTTTTCTTTAGCACAAATTGCTGTTTCTATAAGCAAGTCGATGCTTGTCTTGAAGCAATCAGCGATGCTTCAAACAATCGAAAAGTCTCACAAAAAGATCTACGAATTTTGGCTCGGATTATTGATTGTTGGAAATTCGAAGAGCTCGATGAGGCGCAATTGCTTGAGTTACTCATTTTATTGATTTAAAAACTCTCATCAAAATTTTCTTTTTATGTTTTCACAAAGTTTGCCGAGTCGTTTGAGGGTCCATTGGAGTGGTTAAAAGAGAAAATTTTCGAGTTGGAAAAAGAGGAATTACAAGCGAAGATGATTCGGTGTCTTCATCGAGGTAGGGTATGGTTTGAATCTTCTGTAGATTGTCGTGTTCGAGCAATCAAAAAAAGTGAATTGGAAATGTCAAATTGGAAAGAAAACGATACTAATCACTGTCTAAAATATTCCTAAATATTTAACCACACTCTTTAAATACCCTTTCCAATTACTCCACTCCACTCCATCTCACTAGGGAAGTGCAACAGGTCAAGATGGTCTTCTCTAATGAGACCTAGCTTATCTAACGCAGATTTCGAATCTGCGAACGCTTATCTAACGCAGTTTTTCATGGAGATTTTGAATCTGCTTTTAAAATTGGCAAAACAGCTTTCTGGCAAAAGTTATGAGCATTTTAAGTCTCGGGTTGCCGCTAGAAAGGCCCTTCCACTCCGCAAAACAAGTGTGCTGGTGGTGTAGTGGGTAAGAGTCCTGTCTCAAGATAGGCCCTATAGCAATAGGCCCTATAGGCCAAACGGCCTATAGGGCCTATTGCTCAGGTTCGATCCCTCTTGCAGAAAAACTTTTTGTTTTCACTTTTAGTGTATTATTTAGTTTGCTTTGGTCTCTTGATTCATATTGGTACTTGTGAATCTGTTGTTGTCTGTTGCACGCACATTGTTGTGGAAAATTTACTTGCGGAGTGAAAGGGCCTTTATAGAGGCAACCTGAAACTTAAAATGATCATAACTTTTGCTGTTTTGCCGATTTTGAAAGCAAATTCAGAAAAATTAGAAAATCTCGATGAAAAACTGCGTTAGATGAGCTAGGTCTCATTACAGAAGATCATCTTGACCTGTTGTACTTCACTAGTCGGGCAATAGCCATTGGGGGCGATCTGGCGACCTGGCAGATTCCGATCTGCCAAGTTCAGCGACATCAGGCTCGAGCTAGTCGCTGGCTCGGATCCTTTCTTGCATTTTTGCAATAAAATCTGTTGCATTTATTAATGAGAACAAAATGAACTTGAAAACTTTCGTAATATTTGCAAGTTTTTAGGGAATTTAATTCTTGCAAAGTCTTTTCTGATAATTCAAATCAAACACTTAGTTGCAAGAAGGCAAATTGTCTAATTAATTATCTAATTTATCTAATTATCAAATTATCTAATTATTGGGTTGTCCAGTTATGAATGTGCGTTTTTACAATTGTAAATTTGTAATGTGTAAATTTCTCAAGATATCGAATGAATGTATATGGGTGTTATATATCATTCGAGAGCTGAAGATCTCCTCTACATCTTGGAATAAGAAAGTTTTTGAATTCATTCAACTTTTTGGGAAATTGACTGCACAAAGGGAGAGGTCGTTTTCGAAAAAACCCATTCCAGCTTAGCTATTCCTCAAGTTTTATGGTGTAAAATAGTCGCCCAGAAAAGAAAAGAAAAGTAAAGATGCTCTGATATTGTTATATTTAAAAAAAAGTTGTATTGATATATCTATTGGCCAAACATCAAACGGTTAACTCAATTTGAGCGGAGCCAAAACTTGATCCAAAGGCGCCCTTCCATTTTTTGGCCACCTCTTCTTCCGAGCAGTCAATTTGCCCAAAAGCTGAACAAATTCAAAAACTTTTTACATCAAAATGTAGAGGAGATCTTCAGCTTTCGAATAATACTCATAGATATCTTTTTCTTGATTTCGGTATCTTGAGAAATTTACAGAATAGTAAAAAACGCGCATTCATAACTGGACAACCCAATATATCGCCAAATTATCTCAAGTTTATATTTTCAGCGGTAGTTTAGTTTTAGTTTTCTAGTCTTCTAGTTTTTCGGGGGTGGGACAAATGCGACCTTTTTTTGCGCACCTGGACATTTGCGCACCTTTTTTTGCTGGAAAAGGCCTTAGGAAAGGTCGTAGAGCTTCAAAAATGTTTCCACATAAGGGAATCGTATGCGTAGATTCCGAATTTCGACAAATCAGACTTCGCTGACACGTCAAATTTGGGCTGAAAGGCAAAAACTGCGGAAAAGCGTTAAGTTGCGTAGTTTTTGCCTTTTAGCCCAAATTTGACGTGTCAGCGAGGTCTGATTTGTCGAAATTCGGAATCTACGCATACGATTCCCTTCTATGAAAACATTTTTGAAGCTCTACGACCTTTCCTAAAGCCTAAAGCCTTGCCTAAAGCAAAAAAAAGGTGCGCAAATGTTCGGGTGCGCAAAAAAAAGGTCGCATTTGTCCCACCCCCAGTTTTTCTACATTTTCAGGAAATCACCGATGCCAGAAAGTTGGCAATACAATTCTCGAGGAATTGCTGAAAGGGAAAGCGGAAATTTTCAAGGCAATTATCCCAATGATCTGCATTGATTCAAGTTGGAAGTTGTCGAAAAGCATGGAAAAGTGAGGAAGATTATTCAATCGTAGTTTATCCTAGAAATCGGATAGGAACCAAAGCTCTATTCACCCATTATAACCATTATTTGTGACCATTATTTGACTTGCCTTGACTTGACGACAAACTTGTCTACCCTGACGTGGACCTGGCTGAGCTTTCAGGGTTTGTCCGGACCTGAGTATGACCAGGTTAAGACCAGCTCCTGGATCTCTGAGGAAACTTTTCCCACAATTTTCAATCAACATCATGAATTAGAATTTATGGCTTTACAATTCATAAGTTATGAATTACAATTCATAAGTTTGTCCTTTTTCACTCTTTTTCTGTTGAAATCTTTCGCAACCCCTTTCACTCAAGTACATTTTCGTTCAAATTGCGCTCAAAACTATGCGCTTACCTGTTTCGAATCACGAGATGAAAAAGAAAATCGCATTGTGCTCTTTCTTTTTCTGACTTCATTTATTTTGACAGGTGACTTCATTTATTTTTCTATTTTGGAGGAGAATTAGTGAGATTTTATGATTTTTTATGATATTTTATGATATTTTATGATATTTGTGATATTTTGTGATATCAAATGATTTTCAGGGATTTATATGAGCGAATGCTTAGCGGTGAGTCACCTCCATATGCTGAGACAGCGGCAACGCTTCTCTCGCGATGTTCACCATCACAAAGAGATTCTCCATTGGTTTGTCTAAAACTAAAGTCGAATCTAGTGTCGAATTTGCCAAATTACAGCCAATTAGTACCGAAATTTGTAAAAAATAGTGTAAAATTAGTGTAAAATTAGTGTAAAATTAGTGCAAAACTAGTGTAAAATTAGAGTAAAAGTATGCATAAATCACTCAAAAACTCATCCAACGTCATTTTAAAGAAAAGCTTTGACTTTTGAGACTTTTGGCTTAGAGCTAAAATGAAATGAAAAGCTAAAAAGCAATAAAAATAGCTTACAAAGTAGCTGTTAACTTACAAAGTAGCTGTTAACTTACAAAGTAGCTGTTAGCTTACAAGGTAGCTGTTAGCTTACAAGGTAGCTGGCAGCTTACAAGGTAGCTGTTAGCTTGCAAAGTAGCTGTTAACTTACAAAGTAGCTGTTAGCTTACAAGGTAACTGTTAACTTACAAAGTAGCTGTTAACTTACAAAGTAGCTGGTAGCTTACAAAGTAGCTGGTAGCTTACAAGGTAGCTGTTAGCTTGCAAAGTAGCTGTTAACTTACAAAGTAGCTGGTAGCTTACAAGGTAGCTGTTAGCTTACAAAGTAGCTGGTAGCTTACAAAGTAGCTGGTAGCTTACAAGGTAGCTGGTAGCTTACAAGGTAGCTGTTAACTTACAAAGTAGCTGGTAGCTTACAAGGTAGCTGTTAGCTTACAAAGTAGCTGGTAGCTTACAAAGTAGCTGGTAGCTTACAAGGTAGCTGGTAGCTTACAAGGTAGCTGTTAACTTACAAAGTAGCTGGTAGCTTACAAGGTAGCTGTTAGTTTACAAGGTAGCTGTTAACTTACAAAGTAGCTGGTAGCTTACAAAAAGGATCAAATTACTTTCAAGAACCGAATAGAAACTTTAAAACGTTTAAAGCTCATAAATAAACTAATTTTTTAATGGGTTTTTCAATTGAAAACAGATTCAAAGCAGATGTTTCAATTGAAAACAGAACAGAGCGCGATGACAGTAATTCTTTTTCTAATTCTTTTGATCACAAATTACAGTCATGGACAAAAGTCTTTTAACGTTGGTTTTTAGAAGTTTGTTCTTTGTATATCTTCATCCAAATCCGACCAATTTGCAAACGGTTAACAGTTAAAAGATTTAAAGAGCTTATTATCTCTACAGTTTCAGTCTACATTAGCTGGATTACGGTATTTAGTGTAGATTGAATGTGTAGAGTAGATTTAGTGTAGATTGATTGAGTGCGACCCGCTTTAACCTGATCACCGCGGATGACTTTGCTTCAGGATAGCTTCAGAATAGCCGAGTAGCACAAAAATGTTAAAAGGGTTTCGCCAAAACGCTTGCAACATAACAAGTTTCCCCTTACAACATAACAAGAACACGCAGCATCCAACATAAGGTTAATACTCGTGAGAAGCGTACAGAACGGATTGATACAGGACTGGACAATGAAATAAAGAAAACGATCATCACTAGAAAACGATCGTCACCTTCGCGCGTCTGTAACTCCCTTGTCTTTGAGTTTAAACTATTATTGTTCTACATTTTCTGAAAGCTCTTTTCAAGGGCTACACAATGGTAAGATTAATATTTAGAAATACGGTAAAGACAAGGGAGTTACAGACGCGCAAAAGTGACGATCGTTTTTCAAAGTGTTTTTTCAAATATCATATTTCATTGCCGAGTAGTGTATCTAGAATTAAAGTCTAAGATCTAATTAGATCTAATTTAGATCTAATTTCATCTAATTTAGATGAAAGAAACAATCTCCCAAATCTTGAAAGAGCTCGAGAAAAAGGAATTGCTTTTTCGAGACGTTTGGCTTTTCATCAGTGAAAGCGAAGAGACGGAAACGGTGACGAGTTTCATCGAAAAACTCTCGATCATTCTTTGCCAACGTATGAACTTTCTTTCCGAATTTGAAGAGCAATGTTCTTATTGAGTTTTTTTTTACTTATTCAGTTCCATCAACATCGTTCAATGATCCACACCAAATTTTGACAAGAATCAGCAAACAGTGTATCGAATGGGCAAGACATCCAAATGAAGAAGAAACGGGTTAGTGCGTTTGTCAAAAAGCGATTTTTCTGAACGACGCTTTGGATGTACTTATCTTTTTTGCAATTCCTTACTTTACTTATTACTATTGCCCGTGTTCTGATCTTCAAGTAGGGCGGGAGCCCACGGTTGTGAAAAGCCGGGTATTTCCTTCTCTTTCTACCTTTCTTTTCCCCTTCTACTTCCTCCTCTTTCTTCCTTTCTCTTCCCCTTCCATTTCCTCCTCTTTCTACCTTTCTCTTCCCCTTCTACTTCCTCCTCTTTCTTCCTTTCTCTTCTCCTTCTATTTCCTCCTCTTTCTTCCTTTCTCTTTCCCTTCTATTTCCTCCTCTTTCTACTTTTCTCTTCCCTCCTCTTTCTTCCTTTCTCTTCCCCTTCTACTTCCTCTTTCTTCTCTGGAAAGAAGATACCAAATAGCTCAGTTGTTAAAGCATTAACCGGAAAGTAAAAAGCTCGATCCCCTCCCCGGCAATCTTTCTGGTTCAATCCCCTCTCCGGCAATCTTTCTTTGCAATTTATTAACTAATACCACTAGGTATTATAATAGGATGATCATAAATGTGATGTTTTTGGAGCAAGAATTGTTTTTTTCAGAGCAAAAATGGTTTTTTTCAGAGCAAAAATGGTTTTTTTCAGAGCTCATTGAAAGAAAGTGGGTTTTATGCAGTCAAAAAAGACATTTTTTTTGACATTCTATCCCCTAAGCTAGATTCTTTCAAGCCCAAAAATTTGCCAGGCCAGCCCCGTCAAGTTTTGATTTGATTAACCAAGGAAAAAATGAACTAGCTCTAGTGTTAAACTATTAAACTAAACTCATGTAGATCAAGCTCCTTTCTTTTCCCCTTTTTTCCTCTTTCTTTTTTCTTTCTTCTTTCTTCTCTGAAAAGAAGAGAATGGATAGGTGAGTGGTTAGAGCTCAGGCTCAGGCTTAGGCTTAGGCCCCCCTTAGGGGACCTAAGCCTAAGCCTAAGCCTAAGCCTAAGCCTAAGCCTAAGCCTAAGCCTAAGCCTGAGCCTGAGTGGTTAGAGCATCTAATTAGTTTTGTGGATTAGACAGGCAATTTTTTGTAAAAACGTGATTTCTCGATTTCCCCTTATGAGCGTGACCGAGTGATCCAAGGCGCTCGGGAAGTAAAAAGCTCGAGGGTTCAATCCCCTCTCCAGAAATCCTCTCCAGAAATCTTTTCTTTGCAATTCCTTATTTTGACTTTATTAGCATTTTAGGTGAAAAAGGAAACGATGAAGTGAGACGGTGGGCTCGCTTGATTACTTCAACAATCAATTGTCAACTCTTGTCTTTGGAGTCATCGGCCAACCAGAAACAGGTAGAAATGCAGAAAATTTAAGGGCATTTCCCTAAAAATTCTCTAAAACTCTCTAAAAATCCTGCAATTTGAGACAAAATCTAGATCTCGGAGCTCTGCCAAACGGTAAAATCCCAGTTGGGTCCACTCATCACAAAGTACCGAAATCTTCGTTCATTTTTCATCCAAAATCTCATCTCATCAGCCATTCATTACTCGCCAACAACTTCCAGTGATTTACTGAAAAGTTTGATTTTTATTTTGATGAAGAAGATCTTGAATAAGAGCCAGCAGAGCCTAAGCCTGAGCTAAGTCTGAGCTAAGTCTGAGCTAAGCCTAAGCCTAAGCCTAAGCCTAAGGCTAAGGCTTTTGGTTGGGTAAAACCCAACCAATAAAAGAGTTATTTGGGTTCTATTAGACAGCCGGCTCTTGAGGTTTATCGAGTAGATAAACCACAAAATGTTCCCGATTGAATTCGTCAGCCTAACCCTAAGCCTGAGCCTGAGCCTAAGCCTAAGCCTTTGCACTAAGCCTAAGCCTGAGCCTAAGCCCAAGCCTAAGCCTGAGCTAAGTCTGAGCTAAGTCTGAGCTAAGTCTGAGCTAAGTCTGAGCTAAGCCTAAGCCTAAGCCTAAGCCTAAGGCTAAGCCTAAGCCTAAGGCTAAGGCTTTTGGTTGGGTAAAACCCAACCAATAAAAGAGTTATTTGGGTTTGGTCTCAACCTGTTCCAATTTCTGATCCAATAAAAACATAGAAATCATAAGGCTGAAATGCCCCAACTTGAACAATCGTTTTGATCCGATAAAAGCACAGAAACCCAAACCCAAATAGACTTAGTGCTAGGCGCTAGCCGCTAGCCTTCGCACTAAGTCCAAGCCTAAGCCTGAACCTGCGCCCTATTTAGCTATTTAGCTTAAGCTTATTTAGCTTAGTTCAAAAGATTTTGAAGTTTTAGTCCAAAAAGATCAAAGGATTCAAAACGTTCGGTTGATCTCGTTTGCTCTTTCGTTTCTCGTTGAATGGATTAGTCTAGAAAAAGAAGAATCGATTAAAGCAATTGGACCATCGGTTAGTTTCTGTTTTCACTTCAATATGCTGATCACATCAGAGCTGCTTACATTTAAAATTACATCAAAGCATGACTTTGTTTCAGCTTCAAATTCTCAAACGAGTGATCACTGTCGGAAACTTTGAACGAGTTCATTTACCGCTTATTGAAGAGGTGCTCAAATCTTGGCGAACTTTTCAGTGAACGATTTTAGATTACGGCTTTATTGCTGCAAGTGATCGAGGAGATTTTGCGTTTAAAAGATCTTTCGATCGATTCGACAACATGCGTCTCGGCGTTGGCCACTTCTCTTTGTAAACTCTTCGCCACCGTTTCGCAGCCGCAACATTTCAAGAGACTCATCAATGTCGTTGTCAATTCGTTGAATACTCCATTGGTGGTGAGTTTTATACAGATAACCAGCCGAAAACCCGGCTAACGGCGGATTTTTCTAGCCGAATGTTTTGCGGTGGCGCAATTGGGGGCGCGATCACCGTGGTGCAATCGGAGGCGCAATCACCGTGGCGCAGTCGGAGGCGCAATCACCATGGCGCAGTCGGGGGCGCAATCACCGTGGCGCAATCGGGTGCGCAATCGGGTGCGCAATCGAGGGCGCAATCGAGGGCGCAATCGAGGGCGCAATCGAGGGCGCAATCGAGGGCGCAATCGAGGGCGCAATCGAGGGCGCAATCGAGGGCGCAATCGAGGGCGCAATCGAGGGCGCAATCGAGGGCGCAATCGAGGGCGCAATCGAGGGCGCAATCACCGTGACGCAGTCGAGGGCGCAATCACCGTGGCGCAGTCGGGGGCGCAATCACCGTGGCGCAATCGGGTGCGCAATCACCGTGGCGCGTCGGGGGCGCGCTTGTCTACGACTCACACGGGCACGGTTCGATCCTCCGTAGTGCCGCTCAATTTTGACTTCTTAATTTTTATTTTAAATAGCACAACTATATTATATTTTAAGACTTAAAAAATCAGCTTTTTTTGGCCCAAAGACGGCTGAGAAAAGCCCGTACAGACGGACAGACAGACACTGCTCTTTTATATAGTAAAGTAGATAAGTAGATGTCAAAATAACTCGATTTCTAATTTTTGTATGCAAACTTTCGCTATTTTCGCCTTTCCAACTTTGGCGGAGTCGGCAGCCCGCTTGTCTACGGCCCACACGACCCGGGTTCGACTCCCGGCTGTGTCGTGACTTTTGCTTTTTTAAAAAACGAAATAGGAGATGAATAACTATATAGAATTGTAAGCTAAGAAACTAAAAATCATGTAAATCGGTCCACAGAGAGCCGAGAACTGTACAGACGATTCGATTCGATGTCAAAATTTAAAGAGATTCGGTAGACTTCAAAAAATATCATAAATTTTAGAACCAAGTCCTTCTTCAACTGCTCGAGCTGATCGCGAAAGAGACTCCACAGTACACTCTATGCTTTCCAATCAAAAGCATTCAAAATGTACGTGTGTGAAAATTTTTGATACAAATTCATTTTCAAACCAATTTAGCAATATTATGCTGCAAAGATGACCTTCGAGCGCTTTCCGATCACAATTTTTGAGGGTTTAACGATCTCGACATGGATTTCTCCAATGGTTAAACAAATTTCATAAATACGAATTTCATAAATCACAATATTTTAGATTGAAAAAGATCAAAAAGTGAGATCGCACGTGGTTTCTTTGATTTGTGACAGTTTTGTTCAATGTTCGATCATTCTTCTTTCCCGTAATTCATATCTTGTCGAAGTCAAATCGAAAAATGATCTATTGGCGAAGTGGGAGATGCTAAAAATTGAAATAAAATTGAACTCTAAAAGTTTTAGAAAAACTCTACGTCTGAGTGATTCGAATGAAGAGAGTTGTGGGTTTCAACACGTTTCTCTTGGGATGAGTTTTGTGGCAACTGGTGGCGCTCATTTGAAAGTTCAAGTGACCGTTGGATCAGCTTTCTATTCAACTGATGTCTCGACTTTGCCAAAGATCTCGAGTAAGTTATAGGAGAATCTTTTTAAAATGAAGTCAAGTCAATTTATTATTCAAGTCAATTATTCAATTCAATGCTTAAAGCTTCAAATTTTTAGTAAGTAACATTTGAATAAACAAATTTGAATAAACATATTGACTTCCAGGTGATCAAAACCGAGATCAAATCAGCGTCATCTATGGCTCGTCAATGTTGGAGAGTGAAACGAGTGAAACTCTTTTCGAGCTCACTAATATCTTTGGCTTTAAAGGTACAATTTAGACATGGATCAATCGACAATCTAGACTAGAAATTTCAACCAAAACCTAATTTCACCGTCGTTTTCTCAGCCTGGCTTTCTTGTTTCCTGACTGGCTGGCTGGCTGGCCTGGCTTTCTTGTCTCCTGGCTGGTTGGCTGGCTGGCTGCTCTGGCTTTCTTGTTTCCTGGCTGGCTGGCCTGGCTTTCTTGTTTCCTGGCTGGCTGGCCTGGCTTTCTTGTTTCCTGGCTGGCTGGCCTGGCTTTCTTGTTTCCTGGCTGGCTGGCTGGCCTGGCTTTCTTGTTTCCTGGCTGGCTGGCCTGGCTTTCTTGTTTCCTGGCTGGCTGGCCTGGCTTTCTTGTTTCCTGGCTGGTTGGCTGGCTGGCTGCTCTGGCTTTCTTGTTTCCTGGCTGGCTGGCCTGGCTTTCTTTGTTTCCTGGCTGGCTGGCCTGGCTTTCTTGTTTCCTGGCTGGCTGGCCTGGCTTTCTTGTTTCCTGGCTGGTTGGCTGGCTGGCTGCTCTGGCTTTCTTGTTTCCTGGCTGGCTGGCCTGGCTTTCTTGTTTCCTGGCTGGCTGGCTGCTCTGGCTTTCTTGTTTCCTGGCTGGCTGGCCTGGCTTTCTTGTTTCCTGGCTGGCTGGCTGCTCTGGCTTTCTTGTTTCCTGGCTGGCTGGCCTGGCTTTCTTGTTTCCTGGCTGGCTGGCTGCTCTGGCTTTCTTGTTTCCTGGCTGGCTGGCCTGGCTTTCTTGTTTCCTGGCTGGCTGGCTGCTCTGGCTTTCTTGTTTCCTGGCTGGCTGGCCTGGCTTTCTTGTTTCCTGGCTGGCTAGTCTGGCTTTCTTGTTTCTTGTTCTTAATCAATTGGAATTTTGAAAAACTACAAGCAGAGAATGCCAATTTCTGCTTATAAACAAAATTTCAAAACAATCGGTCAAGAAACGGCTGAGAAAACGACAGTGGAATTAGGCTAGGGTTGGAATTTTCCAATTTCTAGTACAATCAAAACTTGTCCATCATAACCATTCTCATTCAGGCGTTCTCAGTCCCTCCTCACTCTTCACTCTTCATGCTTTGGGTCCCTCATTGAGGTCTCTTTGCTCGGCTGCATCAACGAAAATCCGGATTTGTTCGGCAAAGATTCTCAGTCCCAGTTTGCTACGACGACATCATACTAGGTTCAAATTTGATTTCAAACTTAAGTTACACCCTGCCTCGTGCATTTGATTTACTTCCAGAGTTTCAGAAGCTGAAAGTTATCCCTGTTATTAGATTCAGTAGTCTTTTAGGACTCTTTTATTAGAGGAAAAGGACTCTTTTATTATTAAATCCTTCTGACAATTTTCCTTTCAACACTAAACTTTTCAACACTTTCTGCTACACCATTCTCTACGAATTTCAAGCTAACTTTTATCTTTCTTTGCATAAAAAGCTTTTAAATTAATTTCTTATGAAGTACAAAAAGTTATTGATTCGAAAAAAGCAAGTTATGCGTATTATTTTAGACCCTACATTGAATCGGTGCTTGCTGAACCTCAGCGTTTCATCACAGCGCTTCAGGTATAAAAAATTAAAAACAAGTTCAATCCGAAAAGTTTAGCGAAGCGTTCATTTCTTCATGCCATGCGAGACTCCGAATATCTTTCAATTTGTCGGCCGATCAGCTAATGTGCAAGAGGTTTGTGAAGATCGTGAATGTCTTGAAGATCTTGAATGTCTTGAAGATCTTGAAAGTCTTGAAGATCGTGAAAGTCTTGGAGATCTTGAAAGTCTTGAAGATCCTGAAAGTCTTGAAGTCCCTTTTTTTGTTTTCATTTTATTTTGATGTTTAACCGCTCGAATTCGCTCTATTTCAACTTTACAATAAGTATTATGGCATCTTTTAATTGACAAAATCTTGCACAACACATAAAAGCATATGTTTCACAACTCATCTTCACAAAGTCTGATGGGATATCAACTAGCAACCAACAGAGCTTTGAGCGCTTATAACTTTTGACAGAGTGCCACGTTGCAAAAACGGATAGCAAGATCGGAATCAGCGTAAAATTCTGCGTCGTATGGTATATGGCTCATGTCATTGATATCCCATCAACATCTCCACCTCAGCCTTGTAACTTTCAAGAAAACTGAAAAATGCCAAGAACAGCGATTTCTGGGTATCCCATTCCCAAAATGCGGGACACAAAGGTGATTCCCGGCTCAGAGGTTGCTTCGGCGAATGGCTGCTCGGTGGCACAAAGCTCTGACACCTTAAAAGACGAATCTCATGATGATAAATCAAGCTAAACCCAATTTTTAGACTGACAAGTGGGCGTTGAACAAGCGAATTCTTCTACCGATTTCCTATTCAATGAAAATGGTGGCCACACAGCGGATAACACTTGATGAGAGTTTGGAAGTGGCTGGAGGATTTGCTGTGTTTACTTCAATCTATGCCCTGGTAAGTGAAAAGTGGCAAAATTTTTGAGGAACACTATAAATTTCGTATATTCTTGATAGAGTAGATGTGTTTACAAGTAAAACATTAGAGGAATATTTAGCCAAACACTTAATTTTTATTGTATTTCTTGAGGCACAAGACAAGAGACAAGAGACAAGAGACAAGAGACTGATCTTAAGCATTTTACAATTTCTGTTTCTGATTTGTATTTGTCATTAGAGCTTTTCATTTCATTAATGAAAGTTTTTCGTTAAGACAAGCCAGCAGCTTCTAATTAAGACAAGCCAGCAGCTTCTAGTTAAGACAAGCCAACAGCCTTTCATTAAGACAAGCCATCAGCTCTTTATTGAGACAAGCCAGCAGCCAGCAGCTTCTAATTGAGACAAGCCAGCAGCTTTTCATTAAGACAAGCCAGCATCTTCTAATTAAGACAGGCCAACAGCTTTTCATTAAGACAAGCCATCAGCTTTTCATTAAGACAAGCCAACAGCTTCTAATTGAGACAAGCCAGCAGCCTTTCATTAAGACAAGCCAGCAGCTCTTTATTGAGACAAGCCAGCAGCCAGCAGCTTCTAATTAAGACAGGCTAAAAGCTTTTCATTAAGACAAGCCAGCATCTTCTAGTTAAGACAAGCCATCAGCTTCTAATTAAGACAAGCCAGCATCTTCTAATTAAGACAAGCCAACAGCTTTTCAATGACTTCATTTGAACTCTAGGCTGTCGACCATTGTGCTCGTGGGATCGGCGATTCAAGCACTCAATTGATCGCTCTTCGTCTCCTCCTTCAATACTCCAGAAGATGGATGTATGTGGAAAGAGTTTTACGAAAATTCGGTGCTTGAATTCTCAATTTTAGAGTTCAAATGTGTGGAGAGTTTCCATCGATGAAAGATTTACTTTCAAGGATTCTTTTTGCTGGTTCTTTTTCGAATCCAATCGATCGGCGTCCAATAATTCCCAGAGCTTATCCAGAAGATGAAGAAGACGCTAAAGCTGAAGAGCGAGATCCAATGAATATTTCCGATGTATAGATTTATTATTTCTTATTGGTTTCCTTCATTTGAAGTGTTTTTTTTTGTAGATTTTCATCAATCATTGCTATCGTCGATCCGTTGACGGAGAATCATCGTTTATCGTGCTTGATCCAGAGCTTTTGATCTCTTTGATTGAACGACCATCTTTATGGACTGGAGAACACAAGTTTGAGGAGTTTTTAGTTTAAGTTTTTAAAAAAGATTTAGAATTCGATTTTGGGTGAATATCATGAAAAGTATTAGCGACTCGTTTGAAGATTCCCAATTTTCCGATTTCAATATGATTCAATGGAAAAATGTCAATTTACTTCATCGATTGTTATTGGTGAGTCGTGATAGAAAAGAAAAGAAAGAAGAAGAAAAGAAAGAAGAAGAAGAAAAGGAGGAGGAAGAAGAAAAGGAGGAGGAAGAAGAAAAGAAGGAAGAAGAAGAAGAAAAGAAAAGCATAGAAAGTATTTTAGCAAAGTCTAATAAATCATAAGTCTAATCATAGTCTAATAATAAAGTCTAATAAATCTAATAAATCTAAATCACAAGTGTAGATCAAAGAATCCTTGAAAGGATCTAGAAAATAAATAAAGTCAACCTTTTTTATAACTTATCAACTTCTTAGCTTTATAGTTTTGCGAAAAATCTTTTCTGAAACCAATGCAATTACCTAAATCGATTTGTTCAAACAACGTTGGCTTTCTATTCTTGGCTTCCCATTCTTGGCTTTCTATTCTTGGCTTTCTATTCTTGGCTTCCCATTCTTGGCTTCCCATTCTTGGCTTCCCATTCTTGGCTTTCTATTCTTGGCTTCCCATTCTCCCATTCTTGGCTTTCTAATCTTGGCTTCTCATTCTTGGCTTTCTAATCTTGGCTTTCTATTCTTAGCTTCCCATTCTTGGCTTTCTAATCTTGGCTTTCTATTCTTAGCTTCCCATTCTTGGCTTCCCATTCTTGGCTTCCCGTTCTTGGCTTCCCATTCTTGGCTTTCACCCTCTGCTTACAATTAAATTTGAAATGATAAGAAAAACTAATTCCTGAGCTAGTTAGCTAATTAGCTAGCTAACTAATTAGCTTAAATTTTCAGGTACTACACGAGCTTACATCAATGTCATTCTGTTGCCAAACTTGTTCCTCAATTTTCTCCGAAGGAGTCACGGAGATCGTCCCAAAAATCACTGATCTACTGATTGGAGATCAAGTCCAAATTGAAGCCGTTTGACAAAGACAATAAATTCAAATCTTTAAATTTTAGGTGAAATCTCTATGGACTTTTATTCTACATTCACATCCGCCAGAGAAAACGTTCATCAAGAACACAATTACATCCTACCATGACTGGTTGAGAACAGGTAAAACGAAAGAAAAAAAAGATTGTTTATAACTTTTCTCACAAGGGAAAGAAACCAGTTTGAAGTTGAGAATCGCTTTTTGATTGAGTGAATCTCATAGAATCAGCCATGCTGCTTCTGAATCCACAATCCAATCCATAATCCAATCCATAATCCAATCCACATCCAATCCACAATCCAATCCACAATCCAATCCACATCCAATCCACATCCAATCCACAATCCAATCCACATCCAATCCATAATCCAATCCATAATCCAATCCACAATCCAATCCACAATCCAATCCACATCCAATCCATAATCCAATCCACATCCAATCCACAATCCAATCCACATCCAATCCATAATCCAATCCACATCCAATCCACATCCAATCCACAATCCAATCCACATCCAATCCATAATCCAATCCACATCCAATCCACAATCCAATCCACAATCCAATCCATAACCCAATCCACAATCCAATCCACAATCCAATCCACAATCCAATCCACAATCCAATCCACAATCCAATCCACAATCCAATCCATAATCCAATCCATAAAACAGCTGCAAAAACCCACGAAAACGCAACTAATATGGCATAGAAAATTCCCTTAAATATCGACCACCAAAAAGAAACTTTTCAACGGCTTCTGTCAAGAAGCGCTTCTGAACTTCGAGCTGGTGTCATTCCCTTGTCGAGTTAAGACAAATCATGAACTAATGTTGTCAGAGTTTGGAAAAATGTATATGAACTCCGTGATGCCTTTAAAAGCCTTTAAAAGCCTTTAAAAGTCTTTAAAAGCCTTTAAAAGCCTTTAAAAGCCTTTAAAAGCCTTTAAAAAGCCTTTAAAAGCCTTTAAAAAGCCTTTAAAAAGCCTTTAAAAGCCTTTAAAAGCCTTTAAAAGCCTTCAAAAGTCTTTAAAAGTTGTAAAATGATGCACAAAAAACATAACTATTTAATAGAAATGCATCATTTGTATATTTAATGCAGTCATCATTTAATGCATCATCATTCCGCTCTCTCAGATTTTCCCACGAACAGCGAAGAATTCCCGTATCCGGTGCATTCGACCGATTTGTGTGAGGCGCTTCGTCGATACTATGATGAGCTTTGCACACCATCGGAGAATCGAATCAAAGTGCAATGGGAAAAGGGAATGGATGTGATTGAGTTGAGGCGTTTGTATCATGCACATCATCCTGTCACTGATTCAGAGGTTGGCGAGGATAATCGAGTAAAATAAAGCTCAGTTCAGGACGACTCATTAAGTAGCCAATCGATGCCATCAAGTTTGCAGCCACAATTCGTTGAGTCACCCGGAGTCAACCTCTTGAGAGCAGGTAAAATGAATTCTGGAGCTAGCAGTAGGCGCAGCAGCAGCAGCGGGGCTTCCAAAGTCTCTCTATCTCCAAATAAGCGTTCCTAGGGTTTTCCGGTACGCTGATTTGATTGGTGATGTTTTTAGAACCTGTTTGCGGCTTATTTCTTCTTGTTTTCCTATGCTTTCTTGCTACATCTCTCATTTTCTTTTTTAGATGGCGGGAATAGCTGCAGCTAATAAGTTGGACTTTAAGTTGTTTAATCTTTATTGAGTGAGCTTTATCTTTATTAAGCTCAAAGCCAAGACCGATTGCAAGTGGATTGCTATGGACAAACCGGAAATATGTCAATTGCCAAGAACAAATACTTTTTTGTTGTTGCTCTACTTTTCAATTTGTTATTGGCTTATAAAAAATTCTAAAAACAAGAAGAAATAAGTCGCAAACCGGTTCTAAAAACATCACCAATCGAATCAGCGTACCCGAAAACCCTAGAAACGCTTATTTGGAGATAGAGGGATTTTGGAAGCCCAGCTGACTGGCCCAGCTGACTGGCCCAGCTGACTGGCCCAGCTGACTGGCCAAGCTGACTGGCCAAGCTGACTGGCCAAGCTGACTGGCCAAGCTGACTGGTCAAGCTGACTGGCCCTAGGCTGTTTTCTGTGTGATAAACTGGTTAAGCAAAGGACTAGAGCTGCAATAGTTAACTCAAAACCTACAGCAGCTAAAATTTCAGCCTTAATCGAACAGCTCGTATCGGTGCTACGTTGTGGACCGGATCAGTTGATCTTCGGCGTGCTGCATGACGTCATCGGCTGGCAATCAATCGTTGTCCTTCTCAATCGTCAAACAAATCCTCATATTCTCTCAGCGGTGATGAGACTTGTTGAATGCTTTTTGGTTGGTTAAACAATGAAACGTTTGTCATTTTAGAATTTAGCATCGTTCCCCCGATTTCACCAAAGCAATGTTCATCAAATTTTGCGGTGGACTCTTGATCGCGAATCAGTTGAGAGGGATGGGAATGACCGAGAAAATTGCCGATGCTGCTTTTGGGATCATGTTGGGAGAGCCTGTCCTCATCTCTCATGGGTAATTTTTAGCATAGGGAAATTGAATCATTTGAACAAATACTTGCAAATAGGGATTTCTGGAATTTGTTCAAGTTAAGAGTCAACAGAACTCAACTAGAGACAACATAACTCAACTAGAGACAACAGAATTCAACTAGAGACAACAGAATTCAACTAGAGACAAGAGAACTCAACTAGAGACAGCAGAATTCAACTAGAGACAACAGAATTCAACTAGAGACAGCAGAATTCAACTAGAGACAACAGAATTCAACTAGAGACAAGAGAACTCAACTAGAGACAACAGAACTCAACTAGAGACAACAGAACTCAACTAGAGACAACAGAACTCAACTAGAGACAACAGAATTCAACTAGAGACAACAAAACTCAACTAGAGACAATAGAATTCAATAGAACAGTCCTACCAGAATCATGGAACCGAAACGATTCTCAGAACCAGAGGCTAAAGAACTCTAAACATTCGCAGGATTAGATTTAAATGTCTGCGATGGGATAATTAGATTTTAACGTTTGTTTTGACTTGAAGAAATTACTAAACTTGACTACTAAATTATGCGTAGTAGTACTGTTCTGTAGTAGTACTGTTCTGTAGTAGTACTGTTCTAAAGATTCCCTTTCAAATCCCAGGTATCAGATTGAGTTAAAACTTTGTACAATAATGTTAATCGATAATCTCTGTTAATCACTTATAGTAAAATATCAGAAAGATCTATGGTTTGGCTTTTGTAAAATTGTAGATAAAGGAGAAGCTTCTTTACTGACTTCTTTACTTCTTCTTTACTTCTTCTTTACTGACTTCTTTACTTCTTCTTTACTTCTTTCTTTCCTTCTTTCTTTGCTTCTTTCTTTGTTTCTTTGCTTCTTTGCTTCTTTCTTTACTTCTTTCTTTACTTCTTTCTTTACTTCTTTCTTTACTTCTTACTAAAACTTCTTTCAGTCTCGATGGAGAGCTTCTATCTCGGTTGACGGTGAATCAACTCAACTGCGATGCTACGCATATTGTGTTAGCCGTTCTTTCTGGATCCACGCATCTTTTGCCGCTTTTTGCGAGAATTACAAACTCAATCGGAAAAGTGAGCGATTTGATTTGATTAAATTCCATTTATTCAGGTATTCGAGTACAACTCTCAACTCCAAGCCGCTTTCATCGATAGTGGGATTATCGATGTGATGGTTGATTGCTTGAGACAAGTGGGCAGACGTACTAAAGAGTGGCAGACGTTCTAAAGAGTGGCAGACGTTCTAAAGAGTGAAAAGACTATCACTCACTATCAGTGGAGTTAAACAATTGTCCAATTTAGATAGCAATCTCAAAAGACTACGATGAAGAGTTTCGCTCAGCGATGAGAGACATTTGGAAAACGTTAGCTCAAAAGATTCTCGAAGCTGGAGTTCTTTACAGGTTCTTTACAGGCATTAAACCATAATTTACAGGCATTAAACCCAATTTAGATAGCAATTTGAAAGGTTATGAAGTCAAAAATTTAGTGATGAGCGTGTTTTCAAAGGATGTCGGCGTTTCGTGATCCTCACTTGTCTTTTGGATCATCGAATGGGGCACGATTGGCAAAAAGCGCTTGAAGAAGATTCCGATTCTCTTGCCACTTTTGAAGCTCATCAGGCTTTTATGTAAGGATTCCTATTTTGTCGAGATCTTCTTTAACTTTGAAGCCTTGACCTCTTCAATACTTTCAGAAAGCTGGAAACTTGGCTTAGGCTTAGGCTTAGGCTCAGGCTCAGGCTTAGGCTTAGGCTTAGGCTCAGGCTCAGGCTTAGGCTTAGGCTTAGGCTTAGGCTCAGGCTCAGGCTTAGGCTCAGGCTCAGGCTTAGGCTTAGGCTTAGGCTTAAGCTTAGGGTGCGTCGTAATTGCCCAGACTCGCTTCCAGCTCAGCTAAAATCTCTCTAATCTTTCATACATAAATTTTCACTAGGTCTCCTATAGCAGTGCCAAATATTAAGTCGATTGAAGCAAACACAATTTTGATATAGGCTTTCAAAGTTGAGTGTCGGACTTTCGATAACTTTTTGGATTACACCCGCCATACTTGTCACGGAACACCGCGATTTCAATTTTCCCTTGCAGGAAAAGTGTTAAGGAAAAAGGCTTCATGCAAAATTATGCGTTTAAGTTTGAAGAATCATGAGTAGTGAGCAGTCTCATGAGTTAGTCTCACTTTTTTTTGACCCTAGTTCGGATCCGGCATCCAAACTTTTTCGCTTTCGAATTCGCATTTGCTGTTTGCAAAATGAATAGAGCATCGTGTTCCCCATGCTCGATAGGCGTTTGCATTTCAGCGGCGTAACGAAATCGTCCGACCAGTTCGAACGATTCCCTTGTAAGACGATTCACTTGTAAGACGTGCCAACGAAAGTGCGACTCTCAACTTTGAAAGCCTACATAAAAAATTGTGTGTGCTCCAATCGACTTATGATTGGGTACTGCTAAAGGAGATCTAGTGAAGATTTACCTATGAAAAAAGCAAAGAGATTCGTTTGGTTTTTGGCCGAGCTGGACTTTTGGAAGCGAGTCCGGGTAATCCACCGTGTCGGCCAAAGACGAAGACGTCTTCCAAAGACGCACCCTGTGTGCTACATAGCGTTTTGTTTTGTTTTTAGTGTTTTGTTAAAAGAACTGCCTTTCTGGTACATGGTTTCAGCTGAGTTTAGCAAAAAAACAATGCTCCTTAAAGCTAAAGCTCCTTAAAGCTAAAGCTCCTTAAAGCTAAAGCTCCTTAAAGCTAAAGCTCCTTAAAGCTAAAGTTCCTTAAAGCTAAAGCTCCTTTCTAGTGAGGTGAGGCGATGCCTTTGCACAGTGCTCAACGAGTGGATTCAACGCTTTTGGAGTCTGAAGAAAGATTCGATGAAATCGGCGAGTGCACCATCAAGTCAAGAATCTTTAAATGGTAAGTAGCAATTTGGTTTGCTTAACACGTTGACGACATTGTCACCTGATGCTGTCTGACACATATTCGTTCGTTCGTTCGCCTGGGACATTGTCACCTGATGTTAGGTGACAGTACCAATGTTTGCTGATGATGGATATTAAATAAGTAAGTAGGGTAGTATCTATATTCGACTTTGCCCCGGAAAATGTCGATTTAACCGTTGATTATTAAAATTTTATTTTTTTATAACATAATACAGATGTAGATATAAGAACAAGAAGAGCTACAACTAACAAGGGAGTGGTCAGCGGGGTCTGTGGCCTTTTGCTACGAGCTATAGCTTATTTGAAGCGTCTCTTCGAGAGGATTCAAAATCCGAATTCCGTTTTTGCCACTGACTTCTAGTACGCGAGTTATAGGCCCCGCAAAAGTTGGTGCAAAAATAATGGTCAAAATCTTTTCCTCGAGACCCCTAGGAATCAGATTCAAGCATGTCAGACGCCTCTAACTTGCCAAACTGTTACTACTTCGAGAGAAAAATGTAGAATTTTGCACGCGTCATATAAAGTGAGCCTGGGACTGGAACGGATGGCACTTCGACAAATTAGAGAAGTCTGTGCGAAACTGATTTACTGATCTGTGCGAAACTGATTTATGGGGGTTTTTGGGGGCGAGGAAAACGATTTTGTCTATTATTTTGGCCCCAACTTTTGTACGAGCTTTAATACCAGGCTAGCTACAAAAGTTTGTTTGAACTTTGAGGGAATATAACTCGCGTACGGACCATACTTGGGCCAGAATGGGTTTCTTGAAAAACCGAAACCAACCGGAAAAAGCAGCCCAACCGGACGCGGAACCGGAACGGCTCAAAAATCCGAACCGATTCGGAATAAATAAACAGCTATAAAAAGTTGAATACTGATAGGACATCCGTGGTGATTTATAGTCACCAGCCCGACCTGCAATTATTTAGAGAGCCAACGGCGATAAGTGCTAGTTATCTCCTACTTAAAAACATCACTTTCTAGAATAAAACTCTCTAGATTATTATTATTTCATAATTATCAAATAAACATTTTAAACTTTCAAAAAAATTGATAAAAAAGAACTCTGTGGGACATTGTCATCTGATGTCAGGTGACATTTTTGTGACATTCGAAAAAAAACAACGTTGCAACGTTGTTGCGTTGTCCCATGCAATTGTTTGTGCAAAAACGCCATTGTCGTCAACGTGTTAAAATAATGATCGCTGAAAATGTTTCAATGTAGAGTTTCAAGAGGACGAAGAAACGAATTCATTACTGGGTGAGTGAAAGCTAAGTTCGATGTTCCGCTTGATCGTCTATAATGAAATCAAAAACATTATTGGCTTAGCAAACTGTGGAATTAGTCTAACTGTAACTGTACAATTACTAATTTGATTTGCTTTTTATATGTAAAATAGACATCAAATTGCTTGGCTTGTAGAGGATTTTCAGTCTTTACGCTGACTTCTTTTTGATAGCTCCCAAGCATCAAGTTCAACCCTAATGTGCTAAGTGTTCTATATAATATTAAAGCCCTCAATCTTGGCTACATTTATCTGTTTAAAGTTTCCCGATTGGAGATATACAACTCATTTTACAAGCCTTCGAATGAACACTAGTTAATCTCTCCGACATGCCGCCATTTTTGACGAGCTCCTAAGCACCAAATTCAACCCTAATGTGCTAAGTGTTCTATATAATATTAAAGCCCTCAATCTTGGCTACATTTATCTGTTTAAAGTTTCCCGATTGGAGATCTACAACTCATTTTACAAGCCTTCGAAGAGCACTAGTTGATCCCTCTCTAGTTGATGTCATTTTTGACAATTTTCATTAGAATAACTTGAAAGAAAAAAAGTTTTTCGATATTTATTTTATGTTTTAAATATAATTTAGCATCATTTAATAAGATTAAGAACTGTTTTTGACCAAATTTTCTTACTAAAATTTGAGTTTGATTAGAATTTCTTTGGTGAAAAAGGAAAAAAGTGAAAGTTAAGTGTTTTTCGATGTTTAGTTCATGTGTTTCTTGTTAAATTAACTTTTTATATTTATTGAAAATACTTTCTAGATAAAATGCTACAAATTTAGCTAAAAGAAACTCTTTCTGATTGAATTTTTATGAAGAAACTCGTCAAAAATGGCGGCATGTCGGAGAGATTAACTAGTGTTCATTCGAAGGCTTGTAAAATGAGTTGTAGATCTCTAATCGGGAAACTTTAAACAGATAAATGTAGCCAAGATTAAGGGCTTTAATATTTTATATAATAGTTAGCATATTAGGGTTGAATTTGGTGCTTGGGAGCTACCAAAAAGAACTTGGTGCTTGGGAGCTCCAGTGTAAAGACTGAAGATCAAATCACACGGATTCTAGCTATTCAAATTAACATATTACTAAAGTAGCTGATATTCAGATGATTGGTCAGTCGTTGACGGAGATCTAAATCCTCAAATGAAATCATCGGATCCGATGTCGGATGTGATTGAGGACGATTCAGTGACACCATCAAGAGCCACACTGCTCGATGGAACTTCTCCAATGGCGGCTTTTGTCGAGGGTCAATTCGCGGATATTCGACAAAGAATGACAAAACTTGGAATTGGTAAAAAAAGGTTTTAAATATATTGAAACATATTTTCTAGTAGCGAAAAACATTCTGAAAACAAAGTACAAGAAACGAGAGAAACCAGCCGGATTGGCGCATCCGAATCGGATCAGTGAGCGAGTGATTTTTGGATTGGACACTTGTTTGGCTGTGAGTTTTGAATTTCTGTGATTGACTGTGATTTGATTGAGTGATTGGGGCATTCAATTCTTCAATTTTCCCCCCACAGTAACGAGAGGGAAATGGAGGAAATGAGTGCACCAGAAAGGGGGTTGTTTGCGAGATTTGAGAGCACAAAAGTATCCATTCCTAGTTACCTTGACATCCAGATTGACGAAGGAATCAATTGATTAATCAATAAAAACATTTACAGTTATTTTCTTTCTTCGAGATGATGGATGTGGAGACAAGAGAAGAAGTTGTTTTGCTTCGAAATTTCTTGACCTTACTCATCAGTGCTTTTTCAGCAGAAGTAAGTAAACTCATCAATAATTAAATTAATCAATAATTAAAGCTTTGAAAGTTATTGAAAAGATTTAGGGTTCAATGAGAGAAATGTGGAAATCGTGTACAGCAAATGCGAATTCGAAAGCGAAAAAAACTCTCTCCCAGCTTGCGGCTTTTGTCGTTTATCCATCACTTGAATATCGAAATGTATGTAAAAATTGAATAACAGAAAGACACAAAAATTGTTATGACATTATGAAAAGTAGACTTTATATTCCTGGTAATCATTACTAAGCACCATTACTAAGCACTGGTGTCAGCATTCCTGGTAATCTTTACTAGGCACTGGTGTCAGCATTCCTGGTAATCTTTACTAGGCACTGGTGTCAGCATTCCTGGTAATCTTTACTAGGCACTGGTGTCAGCATTCCTGGTAATCTTTACTAGGCACTGGTGTCAGCATTCCTGGTAATCTTTACTAGGCACTGGTGTCAGCATTCCTGGTAATCTTTACTAGGCACTGGTGTCAGCATTCCTGGTAATCTTTACTAGGCACTGGTGTCAGCATTCCTGGTAATCTTTACTAGGCACTGGTGTCAGCATTCCTGGTAATCTTTACTAGGCACTGGTGTCAGCATTCCTGGTAGTCGTTACTAGGCACTGGTGTCAGCACTTGTTCGCGATCTCAGTGATCTCAGTGATCTCAGTGATCTTAGTGATCTTTAGAGTCTTCTCAGAGCTTCTCAGAGCTTCTCAGAGCTTAGCGAAGTCTTCTCAGAGCCTCAATGGTTTGAAAACATTATTGCTTGAAACATTCTTGCTCTCTGCAACATACATGTTTATCAGAAGTTTCTTGGTGTCAGAACTCAGAAGTTTTTGTCTCCAAAGGTCGAAAGAAGTTCGATAAAGCTGTTTCTTTTTTCTAAAGCCCTAAAAACCCTCTAAATAATCATAATTTCAATAAATCATAATAATCTTCAATATTTAATATATGAATTTTCCAGCGTTGGCTTGGTGGATCAGGACCAGAAAGGAACCCAGAAAGATGGATGTTCCAGAAAAGAGCTCTCGTTTTGTCAGCACTTGTTCGCGATCTCAGTGACTCTCGCGGATCTTTGAGAAGTCTCCTCAGAGCCTCAATGGTTTGAAAACAATATTCAATCATCAAGCTTCAGAAATCAGTCATCAAGCTTTAGGATGACACATACACGATGTGCTTGGGTGTGATCGATTTGGCTTTATTGAGTGGATCACCGTTGGAAACAGTTGGAGAGGATTGCTCGGCCATTCAAGCCGCAATCAAGAACCTCAACGAGGATTCGCCTTTTGATTTCTTCAGGGAATCGAGGGGAGGTTTGTACGTTGGCTGAATTCTAGAAACACGATAAAGTTATGCTCTTTCGTTTCATTAAGTTGAAAGAAATAAGATTTTGGCTTTATTTTTTTTTTAGGCATTCTTTAGGCTATAAAAGATAAACTAATTTTAATCATAGACTTATGTTAAACCGTTTGACTTTTTGAGAGCCCTGATCTTGTGAGCTGAATTCATATCTACTTTCTATAAAAGAGAAGTGTTTGTCTGTCCGTTCGTCAGTCCGTTCGTCTCTCCGTCTGTCCGTCTGGCCGTCCGTCCGTCTGTTCCTCTGTCCGTCTGGCCGTCTGTCCGTCTGGCCGTCCGTCCGTCCGTCCGTCTGTTCGTCTGTCCGTCTGTTCGTCTCTCCGTCTGTTCGTCTGTCCGTCTCTCCGTCTGTCCGTCTGGCCGTCCGTCCGTCTGTTCGTCTCTCCGTCTGTTCGTCTCTCCGTCTGTTCGTCTGGCCGTCTGGCCGCCTGTCCGTCTGTTCGTCTGTCCGTCTGTCCATCTGTCCATCTGTCCGTCGGTCCGTCCATCCGTCCATCCGTTCGTCAGTCCGTTCGTCTGTCCGTCCATCCGTCCGTTTGTCCGTTCGTCCATCCGTCTGTCCGTTTGTCTATTCGTCTGTCCGTCCATCCGTTGGTCTGTCCGTCTGTCCGTCCATCCGTCCGTTTCTCCGTTCGTCTATCCGTCTGTCCGTTTGTCTATTCGTCTGTCCGTCCATCCGTTGGTCTGTCCGTCTGTCCGTCCATCCGTCCGTTTCTCCGTTCGTCTATCCGTCTGTCCGTTTGTCTATTCGTCTGTCCGTCCATCCGTTGGTCTGTCCGTCTGTCCGTCCATCCGTCCGTTTCTCCGTTCGTCTATCCGTCTGTCCGTTTGTCTATTCGTCTGTCCGTCCATCCGTTGGTCTGTCCGTCTGTCCGTCCATCCGTCAGTTTGTCTATCCGTCTGTCCGTTCGTCTGTCCGTCACACTCTGCATTTCGGCTTCCCCTGAACCGATTTCGACAGACTTTTTTTTGATCGATAGAGGATTAAAAATGAATAGGTACATGCTTTTTGGTCAAAACAAATTTTTCATCAAAAACCCGTAAAAAATCAGAAAAACTACTTAACCACGCCCCTTTTTGTCCTCCCTTTTTTTGCCCTCGCGGAGGTGGCGTGGTCGAGGTGGTTAGCGTCTCGTCTACAAAATGACTGTCCCAATTCGACTGTTGGGTTCGATTCCCATCCGCTCCAAGCTTTTTTACTTTTAATGTTTTCCGGCAAGGAGTATGCAAATTTGAGTTGCCTTGTAGCGTAGGTACTGTTGCAGGAGCCCTTTAAATCGAGAGATCATTCGTTAGGGATCTGTCCGTCCATCCGTCCGTCTGTCCGTCCATCCGTCCCTCTACCTAAGCCTAAGCCTAAGCCTAAGCCCAAAACACCCAGAAAAACGTGCCGTTAGGCGGGTTTTTCGTCTGCTTCCCCTGAAAACAAGATATCAAAACTTACAACTCTTTGAATGAGCTTGTTTCAGTTTTTCCATCTCAGTATAACCCTTTAGAAGCCCTCAAATCCTTTGCCGACAACGAGAAACTTGCCGCATTCAACTATGAGAACGAGCGCAGCAAAATGATCACTTCTCTCAAATTGGAGGCCGAATCGATTCGAAATGCGGACTCGGAGATCAGCTCGGCTTTGGCCACGGTAAAAGCTTTATGAAGCTTTCAGCCTAAAGCTTTCAGCTTTATGAAAAGTTGACTTAATTAGTGTTATCGAGCATGGGAAAGCTTTTCAATTATCGATTTTTTTTTGACAATTCGATTTCTTGACGATTCCATTTCTTGAAAACTTTTTCTTTATTTACAGGTGGCCATGAAATTGACAACGGAAGTGGTTGAGCAAACGACTTCCTCAAGAAAGGCTTTAATCGAAGCACCAAGAGAATTGATTCGAAATTTGCATACAGCTGAGGATCAGATTTTGCAATTTGAGGTGAAAAAAAGAGCGATAAAGTCAGAAAAAATATTTGCTTCCTCGGAAATCCGGGTTTTTCCATTGTGAAAAGCTATTTATATGTAAAACCCAAAGTCAATTCGATTTTCATGACTTTTCTTGGAAAAAGAATTCAAATAAACTCCGTCAATAGATTCTACAACTTTGAATTGATAGCTTTTCACAATGAAAAGACCCGCATTTCTTCAAAAGACCCGGATTTCCTCCAAAGACCCCGATTTCCTTAAAAGACCCCGATTTCCTGAAAAGATCCGGATTTCCTTAAAAGCTCCGGATTTCCTCCAAAGACCCCGATTTCCTCAAAAGACTTAGATTTTCGAGAAGAACCGATTATTTTGTAACTTTTAGTCTCGTCTATTCCACCCATTGGCTCCACTGCACAATGCATCGAATTGGCCGAATGGGTATCAACTTGATCAAATCGAGGGACCGAATCGAGAAAGGAAAAGGTAAGGCAAGAAAAACCTAGTACTAAACTTAGATTTAGTATTTAAAACAAGCTTCAAAACAAGCTTCAAAACAAGCTTCAAAACAAGCTTCAAAACAAAGCTGTGTTCAAAACAAGCTTCAAAACAAGCTTTATAACACAACTGTGTTCAAAACAAGCTTCAAAACAAAGCTGTGTTCAAAATAAATTTTAGAACAAAGCTGTATTCAAAACAAGCTTTAAAACAAAGCTGTGTTCGAAACCGGCTGTATAACACAACTGTGTTCAAAACCAGCTTTATAACAAAGCTATGTTCAAAACAAGCTTCAAAAGCAGCTTCAAAACAAGCTTCAAAAGCAGCTTCAAAACAAGCTTTATAACACAACTGTGTTCAAAACCCGCTTGATAACAAAGCTGTATTCAAAACAAGCTTCTAAATAATTTTCAGAATGATCCCAACTGATTATGAGGTCGACTCAAAACACTTCAACGAGTCACCTGGCTCATCGAACTTGCGACCAAATTTTGAGGCGATTATGGTAGAATAGATCTTTTCTTTATTAAAAAAAAGCTCGACTTTTAGGCATCTGGTTCGTTCAGAAGGAGAAAAGACGAGTTGACCGTGATCGATTCGTACAAATATCATTGTGACGTGATCGAGGTTCGGGCTCACTTGGAGTGTGAGGTAAAGAAGCGAAAGAATTGGCAAGAAAAAGTAGATATCCGGGTTTGAACCCTAAACGTTTTGCTTTCGGGTAATTGCTCTAGCCATTGAGCTATTCAGTACCTTAACTTACTAAAGGTTAAAAGGTTAACTATTGAACTAACAAAGAGACTATTGAACTAACAAAGTCTAACAAATCAGAAACAAAGTCAAGAATTCTTTCTCTATTAGTTATGCTTACTTTAAAAGCTGATTAAAATGTAATTCTGTAGGTAATTAAAATGTAATTCAAATGTAATTAAATTATTTTTTTTTTAATTTTTCTCTTCTTTTTCAAATGTAACTTTGATTGTATTTGAAAATAAAAAGTAACTTTGCTTTCAAATGTAACTTTGCTTTCAAATGTAACTTTGCTTTCAAATGTAACAATTTTGATTGCAAGCAGAGCTGCTGGCTTGATTTACAATTATTAGCTTGACAAATAAGTCTTTTCGTTCCTTTTCTTAACCAACAAATGTCCTAGGCTTGTCCTAGGCTTGTCCTAGGCTTGTCCTAGGCTTGTCCTAGGCTTGTCCTAGGCTTGTCCTAGGCTTGTCCTAGGCTTGTCCTCCTAGGCAATCCCAAGGATCTCCCCTTCTCGGCGATGAAAAGGATAAGCACAGGGGAGAACACATTTACATAAGAATAGATCAATCATTCAATAATAACAATAGTAACTAAAATATCAATTAAATCAATTCAATTAAATCAATTCAATTAAAATATCAAGCTCGGAGCTCCCACCGGAGCTCAAAACAAAATCACACCAAAAAAAGAGTTCTCTAACTATGAAATCAGAGTTTTTATTCTAAATTTCTTTTTGCATTCAAATGATAAGTAAAAATTTGTTTTAGGGTGATCTGGTTGTTGCTGAAAAGCATGTGCATTTGTTGCCGAGAAAGACGCGAACAACTCATAAACAAATCCCACTTCCACAAGCTGACGGTTTTCGTATTCCCTATACCCAAATCACAGAGATTTGGGAAAGGTAAATGAAATTGAAATTTTGAAAAAGTAATTCAACAAACTGGTGAATTGAAAAAGACTGGTGAATTGAAAACTACCGACTATTGTCATATGTGACAGTTTGAGCACTTTCTTCAAAAGAAACCCATTTTGGTGTCAATGGAAAAGTTGTAGAGGATCAAAAATCACGCTTATATCCTAATTTTCAGAACGATTCAAAAACTGGTTTTCAAGAAATGCCAAATTTACGCCAAATTTACGAATTTTCACAAAACTTGCATTTCAAGCGAAACTACTAAGTGTATCTTTTTGGAAATTTGGCTATAAACCTAATTTTTGATTCTCTACAACTTTTCTATTGACACCAAAATGGGTTTCTTTTGAAGAAAGTGCTCAAACTGGGACATCTCCAGTCTCCACCTCCAGTCCTCCATTTCTGAGTCTCACACTTGTCTCACACACAAACCAAAATCCTACTACGAAAGAGGAATCCGCAAATTGCCTGTAAAATGGGCAGAAGTCGTCAATAATAATGGAAATTATTTGGAATGAATTGATGGTTTTATGTTCAATAAATTTTAGTTCAAAGTCCGGCAGTTTTCTATTCACCAACCCAATAGATTAGGTGATTGAAGACCTAGTATTTCAGATAGCCAAAGTTTAGATTGTTACAGAGATTATAGGTAAATTGCTTAATAAAGAAGTAAAGGAATTAGCAAGAAAGGGTAGATTTGTGGAGATGAGATTGAACCCTCGATCTTTTGCTCTCCGGGCTATCTGGAAACCTTTGCTCTACCCATTGAGCCTCTAGCCATTGAGCTACCTTAACTTGCCAAGAGGAAGAGGGAAAGGCAAGGGAAAGAAGAAGAAGAAGAAAGAAAGAAAGAAAAAAAGGAAGAAAGGAAGAGAGAAAGTTTTCAGTTTTCAGTTCCCGCAGTTTTCAATTCACCAACGCAATACTTTAGAAAATTTCTACTCCGAGACATTGCTTTCGAAATTTTCGTTAAAGATGGCCCGGCCCGGTTGATCGTTTTTGAGAATACAAAGGTATTTTATTGACCAATCAAAAAAAACGCATAAAGTTAAATGCAATATATTTCAATAAACTCCAGGTTCGATCAACTTTCCAAGAATGGTTAACGCTAATCGGTTTCGCACACGTTTTCCCCGATCCAAAGAAAACCCTCCAAATCGCGACCGAACAATGGCGACATGGAGTGATGAATAATTTTGGGTACACAAAAAACTATGTAAAGTATCAAAATCAAAAATTGATAGATATTTGATGTTATTGAACAAAATCGCCGGCCGAACATACAATGATTTAATGCAATATCCCGTTTTCCCGTTCATTCTCTCACAGTACACGATGCCGTCGCTGGATTTGGCGAACTCAAACAATTACAGGTAAGATTTCTTGGTGAAGCTAGTTTATAAGTAACCAGGAGCAAAAAGCAAAAGATTTGGCGGCGAGAGGAGTCGAACCTGTGACCTCTCGCTTCCGTTCGTTTGAGAGACACGCGCGTTCACCACTCGGCCAGTAGATGGCGCAGTGTGAGCGCCCTTGTCTCTAGCCCGACCCGGGCTCAACTTCTGCCCGTGTCTTTTTGGTTTTTTAAAAATTTAAAAGCATAGGCACAACTACATGAAATTCTAAGCCAAACAAATTAGAAGTCATTTGAAACGGGCGCGGAGGATCAGTGACAGACAGACAGACACAGCTCTTTTATATATAATAGATACCAGCCGAAAAAGCCGCTAAGAATGGCTTAAGAACGACTTTTTCTAGCGGGATTTTTACGTGGTGCAGTCGGTAGTGCGCCTGTCTACGGCCCACACGAGTTCGATTCGGGCGCCTGTCTACGGGTTCGATTCCCCGGTGTTTCAGCTAACACAACACAACCTAAATCCTTTATAATATATTTTTTTTTTTTATTTTTTTTTACCTTAATCGACCAAGAAATGAGAAACACGGACGGGCGGACGGGGGGACAGAGGGACAGACGGACAGACAGACGGACGGGCAGATAGACAGATAGACAGACAGACAGACAGACAGACAGACAGACAGACGGGCAGATAGACAGACAGACAAACAGACAGACAGACAGACAGGCAGACAGACACTGCTCTTTTATAGATGTTACGTCCAAATCCTCGTCCCGAATACTAGCGTCCGAATCGACGATTTTAGAAATCTTTCTCGCCCGATGGCCATTCAAGATCAGACAAAAGTGGCCTACTACGCGAAACAGTATGCTCAATTGGAGGAAGCTGATCTTGGGGATTCCCTAAAACATGGACCATATCATTACGGTAAGAGATAACATTTGAAATTAAAAGAATCATGTTATTGATCAGCTCTAAGAGCGTATAAAGTTCTACAGTTGAGCAAACGTTGAGGAAATTCTTGTCCACGAAATCCAAACAACTTCGAACCAAAGCTGACCGTGGTTTTGGACAGTTTAGCTGTCAAAACCACGGTCAGGCTGAGTATTTTTAGCAAATAGAAATGGCTTAGGCAATAAGTATAAAGAACTATTCAATATTGTTTTTAAAAAAATAAAATTCTTTCAATTCACACTTTCAATTCTACATTCAGGTAGCCATTACAGCAACAGCGGAATCGTCTCCCATTTCCTTGTCCGATTGATGCCTTTCACAAAGTTGGCACTCGAATATCAGGTTTGTCCTTATATACTCTATATAAACTACTTACTGAAGAATATTAATATACTTTTTCGTTTAGGATGGCCGTTTTGATCTACCCGATCGCCTCTTCAATAGTATCGAGTCGGTTTGGCGCTTATCGAGCAGTGAGAGTACCACTGACTTCAAAGTAAGAACTCAAAGAAGATTAATTAAGAAGAAAAACGCACACTTACAAAGTAAACTTACAAGAAAGCTTAAAAGAAAGCTTACAAAGTCTCGATAAGCACTGTAACAGCCTTAAGAATGGTATTTTTCTGTTTTTCAAAAACGAATTTGTTAGTAGCGGGACTCGAACTCACGGGAAGAAGTGTTATGGCTCTATAGTCCGGCACACTAACCCCTAAGCCATTGCTGCTCCTTTTTCGCTCGCGTGTGGCGCGCTCTTATTGGCTAGGAGGCGATTTTTCGGTGGTCGAAACTTCAAATGGACTTCAAAGTCAAATAGACTTCAAAGTCAAATGGACTTCAAAGTCAAATGGACTTCAAAGTCAAATGGACTTCGAAGTCGAAAATGATTCAAACTTCAAATGCATTTTTCTCTCCAGGATTTTAATTTGCATAGATGCATAGAAAAAAAGCATAGATGTTTGGAATGTCCATGTCCGACTGCCGTTGCACGCGAGCTTATCCTGAAACGTTTGAATCACTCCAGTTTGGCCCTAGTTTCGATCATTCCCTTCTTAGAACTGGCTTTTTGAAAACTAATCACTTTTCCACTTTAGGAATTGATTCCCGAGTTTTTCTATCAACCGGAATTCCTGCAAAACCTTCATCACTTAAACCTCGGAGTTCGCCAAAATTGGGATCAAGTAAACGACGTGATGTTACCGCCGTGGGCACCACCAAAAGGATATCGACTATTTACCCTAATCAATAGACAAGTGGGTTTAAAAGCTCAAGTCAAATCAAAGGCTATAATAACAATCAAAGGCAATAATATCAAAGAATTAATTTGACTTTTAGGCTCTTGAATCTTCGTACGTTGTGTCGAACCTCCATCACTGGATCGATTTGATTTTTGGCTTCAAACAATCGGGCAAAGCGGCAAAAGAAGCAATGAACGTGTTTCATCCATTGGTACTGAAATAAAAATATGTCGAAAAGATTTGAAACCTTATCATCTAGCCGTAAAGGTTTGAATTTTCTCGGCTAACCAAAGAGTTTTCAAATCATATCGATTAGCTGAAGAGGTTTTGCAACCTTTGCGGCTTAGGCTTAGGCTTAGGCTATCAGCGTAGGCTTGAGCTTAGGCTATCAGCTTAGGCTTAGACTTAGGCTATCAGCTTAGGCTTAGGCTATCAGCTTAGGCTTAGGCTTAGGCTATCAGCTTAGGCTTAGACTTAAGCTATCAGCTTAGGCTTAGACTTAGGCTATCAGCTTAGGCTATCAGCTTAGGCTATCAGCGTAGGCTTGAGCTTAGGCTATCAGCTTAGACTTGAGCTTAGGCTATCAGCTTAGGCTTAGACTTAGGCTATCAGCTTAGGCTTAGGCTATCAGCTTAGGCTTAGACTTAGGCTATCAGCTTAGGCTTAAGCTTAAGCTAACAGCTTAGGCTATCAGCTTAGGCTAGCCGATATAATTTGAAATTTAAAACACTTACACTGGAAGAAGAAGAAATTGTTTCAGTTTTATGGTTTAATATCATCATATCTAAGCTCCATTTATTAAAACATCTTCCCTTTTCTTTTTTTTGGCTCTGTTGGGCCAACGAAATGACTCCACCATATTTTAAGCTTATTAATCGATTCTGATACGCAAAAATTTTGTTGTTTGTGATCTAAGAAGATTTTTTAATAGATGGAGATCATGATATTCGACCATTAAGCTGAAAAAGAGTAATCTCTTCCAATGGCAGGTGTTTTAAATTTCAAACCATATCGGCTAACCAAAAAGGTTTAAAACCTCTTCGGCTAGCCGTGAAAATTGAAACCTTTTCGACTGTAAAACTTTTTTTAGTTGAAAAACCTTTTCAGCTACGACATATATTTGATTATTTCACAAATTTAGACTCACGTGGCGAACATTGCTCAGGCGGATATGGGCGATGAGGTTGACCGCGGCGCGAGAGCGACAATCATTCGAACATATGGTCAAATGCCCACTCAACTCTTTAGCGTAAGTTAAAAAGCGTTGAATGGTTCACCTAGTGTTAATCCGAAGTGTAAATGATTGATGTACTACAAGGTACAAGGTACTTCAAGGTACAAGGTACTTCAAGGTACAAGGTACTACAAGGCACAGGGTACAACAAGGTACAAGGTACTACAAGGTACAAGGTACTACAAGCTCAGGCTTAGATCTACAGAGTGTTCAATATTTATGGAGACTTTTAAGCTCGCAGATTGTTTAGCGGCCTCAAAATTCGTTTATGAAAAAATTGCCAAGAAAGCACTGCAAAGAAAGCAGCCAAGAAGTCGAAAGAAACACGATTTTCTAGAGTTTTACTAGATTTACTAGATTTAATAGACTACAGTTTACTAGATTTGATATTTCTAATATCAATTCATTTGAACTTGATCACCAAATTTTCCCAAAAAAGTCAGATACCAGTTGTTCATGTTTAACGTGAAGAAAGTCTTCACTATTTAACAGTTTGCGAATCTACGGGGCATTAAAAATGTTAGAATCACATCTCAGCTTTCATTCTTCCAAGAAAGCTTAACAAGAGCTTGTGAAAAACTCAATTTATTCAATTTCTTTCTACAGGCGCTTTCCACAGGTGTTTCTAGGCAAGCAACAGCGCAAAAGGCAATAATGTTTGAAAAAGTTGAAAACGTTGAGCGTATTGATAAGTGGGCTTCCTTTTTAGCATTAAACTTGTACAAAATGAGCTCAAAATGAGCTCAAAATAGAGTTTGCGACAAACTCAATTTATCCGACCTCTTTCCACAAGCACTACAAAGAAATGGGGAAAAACTCGACTTTCTAGATTTCTAGATTTCTAGATTTCTAGATTTCTAGATTTCTAGATTTCTAGATTTCTAGATTTCTAGATTTCTAGGTTGCTAGGTTTCTAGATTTCTAGTTTCTAGATTTCTAGTTTTCTAGATTTCTAGGTTTCTAGTTTTCTAGTTTTCTAGTTTTCTAGTTTTCTAGTTTTCTAGTTTTCTAGATTTCTAGTTTTCTAGATTTCTAGATTTCTAGATTTCTAGGTTTCTAGTTTTCTAGTTTTCTAGTTTTCTAGTTTTCTAGGTTTCTAGATTTTTTACAGTTTGCCAAATTTGATATTCCAAAAATCGATTCATCCGAACTTTAGTGAAATAAAATACCGAAATTTGCAATGTCCTAAAGGTTTTGACAGTTTGACAGTTTACAAAGTATAATTTAAAAGTTTCTGACGGATCTTTAGGCACCTCATCAACCGCATTTAACGCCAAGCGAGCAATGGGGCGAGAACATCAACGGGATTCCCTGTTCAACTGTCGAAAACATTAGGTAAAATGGGAATTAGCTGTCTTATATACAAGTTATTAGCCAGAAAATTGAACTGTTTAAATCTAGATGGGGTGAATATGTGGGAAGTCCAAATCTCGGTTCATGTGTCGCCTTTTGGAAGCATCGAGCGTCAAGAGATCGAGTCTCTTCATTGACTCTTTTACCGGATGGAATGGTGATGGGAGCTGCCAATAATATGGTGATCGCATTGGGAACGGCGAAAGAGTTGAAAGGTAACAAGTTCATTGATGTAAAAACGAATGGAAATGACATTACAGGCAGAATTATGGTAACTTTATCGATTTATTGAGTCTAACTCAGTTCTCGAAGCCTTAAATATTGAATAATAATAATTAAACTTTTAGAAAACAGTTACATTTATCCAATAATGTTTTTCCTAGAGAAAGTAACGCAGAATGTACTAGTAAAAGGGAATTATTTGACTTGCATCGCATCGAGCATCGCATCGATTTGAGATGACTTGCATCGCATCGGTTTTAAGGCATCGAGAACTGACAATAACTGGCAAAGCCGGCGATGCGACCTATATCATTAGACGCAGAATTTTATGCTGATTCCGAAGATCTATTCCGTTTTGGACAAATGACAATCTGTCAGAAGTTATAAGCTTTGTTAGGACTCTGAAACTATCTTGGCTGTTTGGGGTCTTGAATCTTCACGGCCTCCTTGCGCAGCCAGATGCAGCTCTGGTCAAGTGGTACAGAGTTCGTTTCTAAAGCGTGATCTCACAAGTCCAATCCTCAATTCGGACTTTTGTCTTGCTTTTTTCAAGAAGTGCTGACGACGCAGAATTTTATGCTGATTCCGAAGATATATTCCGTTTTGGCTAAATGACAATCTCTTCTTTTTGCTCTTTGTGCGCAACCAATTTCTTCTTGTCACACTTTAGCATAGAATTTAACCGGCTCAGCCAGTTGACCTTTTCTTGTTGACCTTGGGTCACCCAGTTGATCACCCAGTTGACCCAGTATTGAACTTGGGTTTCCATAATTCTGCCACAACCCGTATTTCACCCTTTAGCTGCTCTGGTAGTGGGAATCTTTTGCTTGCCGACTCCATCATCGGGACTGATTCGTTTTCGGGTTCACATGGTTGATAAACACGTTGATCCACACAAAGCCTGGGTGAATGCGATTGATATTGGCGGGAGAACGGTGAGGAATTTATTGTTTTTGAAAATAAACGACAGCAATGGTGACAGCAATGGTTTCAGGTGACAGCGATGGCTTACTCGAACTTTGGCCTACTTTTCATTGGTTTCTCTAGTGGAGTGATCTCTGTTTATGAAGTTGATTTCGATGAAGAGGTTAACTAGTAAATGAAATTATTCAAAAAGACTATTAGGGTCTTCACTCAGTCGCTCTTCGAGGTCAACTCTTGGCTCATTCAAGTGCAATTCACACGATTTGTGTCTGCGATGAGTACTCGTCTGTGGTCACCGGTTGTTCATCGGGACAAGTGGTACTCTGGGATCGGAATGGGTTTGTTTAAACTCTATTTTACAGAACCTAAACCTGTTTCCAGATTGAGCTTCATTCGACTCATTACGAAAGCGAAAGCGTTGAGCGCTTTATTGATGAATCGAGTTTCCGGAGACATCGCCATTGTCACGCCAACGAATATTGGAAGTCGAATTCAACTTTATACAGTAAGCAAAGAAATCAAAGACGGTTTTTAAAGGATTTCTAGATAAATGGAGATCTTGTTAATTCGTTAGATTTGGATTGCATTGTGACATCGGTTTTGATGACAGAGTTGCCCGAGGGCACTGCGGTGAACGCTCTGTATTGTGGGTGCTCGGATGGGACGATAAGGTTGATAAATGATTGCAATTATTGCATTTAACAATTCAGACTGCTCGATCTTTGGGGCGTTCGTCAATTTGGGACACTTTGCGGAGTCACGGGAAGTGCTGGTGAGATTTGAAGCTTAAAGTTATGCGAAAATCTTTCGGCTTTCTAGACTTTTATATATTGGGTTGGGGAGAATGACTCGGCGCCAAACTTTAAAGGGACTTTTTGCACACATAAAGCCTTCTTTAAATATACGTTTGGTTTCATCAAAAGGATCCACTATTTCTCTACAAAATGCCTTTTGAGAGATTCCACAAAGCTTTTCTTTGGTGGAGTTTATGGACTCCCAAACACAGCTAGTCAAAATGGCAAAGAGTCCGACTCATCATTTGAACAGTTTCTTTCACATAAACCTTCTTTGGTGTTTATATAAAAAAGATAGAGCACATTCAATTACTTAAGTTGCCAAATTTGCAGGAAGATCCCACCAATGGTTTTTTCTAGATCACAGTTTGTAGTTTTTGTGAAAAAATGGCTTTTTCGCGGAGCGGAGGCGCTGTTTGAATTTTCTTTTAAATGTCATTTTGTAGAGAATTAGTTAACCATTCTACTCATATCAAACGCATATTATTTGACAAAGTCGAATAGAAGTTTTAGACATTTTTTTGATTTTCGGCGCCGAGTCATAGTCCCCAACCCAATACTTTGTTTTATGTTTTATGTAAACAACGTTTTATATAATAAAATAGACAAGATTCATACTTCAAATTGAAATCAAATATATAATAAGCTGGGGTAAGCCCAATCAGAATTCGGGCACAGCCCTGGGTCTTGGCAGGTCCAGGGACCAGACTTTGGACCAGACTTTGGACTAGACTTTTTGTCTAACTTTTGCTAGACTTTGTCTAGTGTCTAGAAAATTGATTCTGGAATAAATCTGATTGAATCCAATTTTAGAACTTGTTTTAGGTTATCGGGAATTTGAGACGCGTCCCGCTCCTTTTCCTATTGACAATCTGACTTTAAGCTCAAATATCTTGGTGTTGGGTGGTCCAATTTAGATAGTTTTTATACCAATCGACAGAGAAAGACTTGGCGTATCTAATGATACCAAGAGTATTCCAATTGAATAGTCCGACACCAAGATATTTGAGCTCAAAGTTGGCCAATAGCAAAAGGGGCGGGGCGTGTACGGTGTTGGGCTGTCCAATTTAAATACTCCTTGATATCATTAGATGCGCCAAGTCTTTCTCTGTAGATTGGTATAAAAAGTATTTAAATTCAACAGCTCAACACCAAGATATTTAAGCTCAAAGTTAGATTGCCAATGGCAAAAGGGGCGGGGCGCTTATAAAAGGTTGTCCCATCCCTGGCAATCTAACTTTAAGCTCAAATATCTTGGTGTTGAGCTGTCCAATTTAGATAGTTTTTGCACCAATCGATAGAGAAAGACTTGGCGTATCTAATGATACCAAGAGTATTCAAATTGAATAGTCCAACACCAAGATATTTGAGCTCAAAGTTTGCCAATGGCAAAAGGGGCGGGGCGTGTATAAAAGGTTCATAATCATGTTCATAAAGTCAATTTTACATTTATTCAGGTTCTGGCGGAGATCCAGTGATTGGAATGTTGTTCTCCGGCAATCATCGTCGCCTCTTTGTCGCTCGTCAATCCGGTGTTGTGACTGCTTGGAGATCCGAAAGAGACAATGCTCTCTCAAAAACGGTTTCCTTTATGCACATCACAGCTTATCGTGATCCTATATGACTTTTTAAGCCTAGGTTTTTCTAATTTTCTTTTTCATGGCTCAATTAACGGGACTCTACATCTATCAAAAAGATTTCACCCTGTGATAATTGATCTTTGCTATTCTTGATCGTTGCTATTCTTTGTGATTCGATTTCTTTCAAGTGTGCTGATTTGTGTGCTTTATTGTTTTCACTTTGACCAAATACAATCTAATGGGTTTATTTGAGCAGAATACACATGAAATCAACGAAAAATAGTTCATTGCGATGAGGGAGTGAAGAAAACTTTTGCGAAAACGAAAACCGAAAGGATAAAAGTTTGACAAATTGTGAATGCATCGACGAGAATGTCAGTGAGAGCGATTGGTGATGGAGCAGGTCCTGGAAAAGGGGTAATTGATAGCTTACCGGTGCTATTTAGACTTTAGTAAGTTCTAGATGATGGAGCAGGTCCTAGAAAAGGGGTAATGGATAGCTTACCGGTTCTGTTTAGACTTTAGTAAGTTCTGTACGCTAAAAGCAATCTATCTACATTGCTTATTGTTAGAGATCAGCTTATTCCCATTGATTAACGATATAACGGTACCGGGCCAGTCTCGTTAAGCTTGGTCCAACGATTTTGCATCAGCTCAATAGTGAGCTCTTCAATGAAATTGAATGTTTTCTCAATATTTGAAACTACAATAATGCAAGCTATGTAGATCTTAAGTGTAGAAGTTGACAGTAAAATTTCCTGTCTGACTCAGTTGCCTAAGCCTGAGCCTGAGCCTGAGTCTAAGCCTGAGCCTGAGCCTGAGCCTAAGCCTGAGCCTAAGCCTGAGCCTAAGCCCGAGCCTAAGCCTTGTCAGCCTGATTCAAGAATGTCTGACTGATGTCAGCCTTAATTTTCTTGAATCAAGAGCTCTATTAAGGAAGAGATTCATTGACAGTCACTTTTGATCACTTTTGATTCTATTGCTGATAAAGTTTGGTTAGAAATAAATCAATTTTACTAATTCAAACTCCACTTACTATCTTGTAAGGCCTCAAAACTGCTGACGCTCATCGAGCGGTGGTGGGGGAAGAGGGTCAACGGCGGTCACTGATGGGCCGGCAAGTGGAGAGGATTTCTCCTAAAAATGTGATTTATCCTGTGGACGTTATTCCAATACCGTATTTTCCCTAATATCCTGGGCCGACTTGATGACGACTTGATTATTTTAGGGTTTTTCCAAATAGCCTATTTAGAATCAATCCGTTTTATGCGCTAACACAGAACACTTTATCGGTGACATTATACTTGGCGGCTTTCACGATATGCATTTATGTGAACTTCACGGTGACGAGTAAAAGAGTGAGTCGTTTATTGATTGAAAATGTGGAGTTGCCATTATTATGGATAACTTTTGCTGGCAATGATTGACCTTTGCCTTTGCTGGCAATGATCGGCCCCTAATAGTGCCCCGCGTCGAGTCGAGTTGATGACTGTTTTACGGTTTCCAACTTTTCACAGAAGCTTGACACTCTAATCCCCCACAAGATCTCATCATCAGCTACATTTTCCGACCCCACATCGATAGGTTCTGATAAGCGGTTCTCGAGATTTCGAGTAGTTTAGGCGAGGCTTAGAGTGCACTGCTTAGAAGGAAAATACGGAACTCTAGAAATCTAGAAACCTAGAAACCTAGAAACCTAGGAATCTAGAAAACTAGAAATGGATTACTTTATATCTAATCATTTTACGCTTTTAGATTTCTGCCGCAAACCTGAGTATAGTGAAGTGGAGGCGCTGAGTTCAAAGGAGCTCGCTCATTGCCACGGATCACCACTGATGCTCTGAAATTTGCATATGAAAATGAAAGTAGTTGTAGGATCATGATTCTCAAACAAGTTAAACATTTGCGTTTTACCTGTGCGGGCTATCGATTCCATCGAGCTTCCCGTACTTGTTGCGCTGCGAGACCTGGTAATACTTGGTAAAGGTACTAATTCGTGAGGAATGTCAATGAATTTGTCTATTCTAAACTAACAAGAGAGTGTCAACTGGGTGTGTTGGTCAACTGACGTCTTGTCATTGGCTTTTGTCATTGGCTTTTGTCATGGCTCACAAATAGTCACTGATAAGAACACCCCCTTAAAGTATCCGAAAGACTGTCCCCTTCTGAACCAAAATTTACCTTTTCTCACTGTTGTAGTACAAACAAGTACTGTGGTAGTGAAAATTGTGCCATTTTTAAAGCTCAAAAGGGAATTTGAGCTCATTTGCCCACCATAACTAGGTGTTGTGGTCAAATGATATGTCCTATTCGACGCAGAATTTCACGCTGATTCCGGAGCTGCTTTCCGTTTCTGGTATGGAGCACTAAGTCAAAAATTATAAGTTTACAAAGTTTTGTATGAGATTTAAAAATCACTGAGTTCATAAGCAGATTTCCTAGGGGCTTTAGAAGAAGCAGTGGTGGCCTAGAAGGTCTTGCTAGAAGGCCTAGAAGGTCTAGAAGGTCTAGGCCTTGCTATCTAGGCCTTCTAGACCTTCTAGGCCTTGCTATCTAGGCCTTCTAGGCCTTCTACGCCATCACTGCTTCCCCTAAAGCCCCTAGGAAATCTGCTTATGAACTCAGTGATTTTTAAATCCCATACAAAACTTTGTAAGCTTATAACTTTTGACTTAGTGCTGCATAGTAGAAACGGAAAAGCGATTCAGAATCAGCGTTGAAATCTGCGTCGAATGGCTATGCTATAAATCTAGTAAATCTAGTAAAAGCTAGTAAATCGAATAGTTAAACCACTACCTGATAGGCGATCAAAGCAATGAGTGCAACGGAGAGGAGAATGCACAAAGCCAAGAGCACCCAAGCCACTGTTTCCCAGGCCGAGGCACCGGTGAGGCTAAAAGTTTACCGATTTCTAGATAATCGATGTCGAAACTTAGATTATCTAGCTTTATTATTACAATTATTATTATTATTCATTTGTACAATGTCCCGTGAAACGAACGTGTCCAAAAGAGTGGCTTTATAGGCGGGCGCGATCACCGTTGCCGTCTCAACGACACTTCCACCACCCAGCACCAATTTCGGATGTTTGAATTTAGCTTTCACCTCATCTTTCACCAAATCTTTCAGCTCCTGAATTGAAATAGTAATTATCAAATAAATCTCTTTACTTTATCAAGTTTCTTCTCCAATTCTCTCTCCAAAAACTCAGTGGCCACTTCTTTCTCCACCTCTTTTTTCGCACCATTTGCATCTTGCTAAAAGTGTTTGTTTTTATTCAAATTCTCAACCACTTATGATTTAAAATTAGTATTTAAAAGTTACGACGATAAGGTTTCAGTTTAAGTTTAAGTTGAAGTTGAAGTTTAAGTCTAAGTTTAAAGCTAAGCTTAAGCTTAAGTTTAAGTTTAAGTTTAAGCTTAAGCTTAAGTTTAAGTTCTAAGTTTAAGTCTAAGTTTAAGCTTAAGTTGAAGTTTAAGTTGAAGTTTAAGTTGAAGTCTAAGCTTAAGTTTAAGCTTAAGTTTAAGCTTAAGTCTAAGTTTAAGTCTAGTCTAAGTTTAAGCTTAAGTCTAAGCTTAAGCTTAAGTCTAAGTTTAAGCTTAAGTCTAAGCTTAAGCTTAAGTCTAAGTTTAAGTCTAAGTTCAGTCTAAGTTTAAGTCTAAGTTTAAGCTTAAGTTCAAGTCTAAGCTTAAGTTTAAGTTTAAGCTTAAGTCTAAGCTTAAGCTTAAGTCTAAGTTCAGTCTATGTTTAAGTCTAAGTTTAAGTCTAAGTTTAAGCTTAAGTTCTAAGTTTTAACTTTTGTCTAAGCTGTTTACCAGGAGCGCGTATTTTTGCTCGATGAATGCTTTCAAGTTTTCTTTGAGCTGTGTTTCTTGAGCATCAAGGTCAGTCTTTCGAGTCTAAAATCAGGATTTAAAACATTTTCAATGCTTTTTCAACCTGAAGATCTCCAAAGAGAGTGGTCAATTTGTCCTTGAGAGCTTGGCGTCTCTCCTCGACTTGGGCCTCGCTAAAGTATCAGTGATTGTTGATCAGTTGATTAGTTGATCAGTTGATCAGTTGATAAGTGATTTTGAAAATATTTATCATGTTATTTATGCAGTCTAAAATTAGTGCAATTACTATACGATTCAACGTTTGGATCTGGAATAGTTGTAATAGTAATAGTGTAATCAATCGCTTAAGAGTAATTAATCACTTAAGAGTAATCAGTCACTTAAGAGTAATCAATCACTTAAGAGGTATTTTTGCTAAGTCTAGCTAGTCTAGCTTTGTACGCCTACTTCTCGGCCTTGTGCTTGGCATAGAGGGCGTCAACTTGTTGCAGGTAGACGTTGACTTCCTGGAAAAAAGTAAAATAGCTTTTCTGTGTCAAAGAAGTAACAAAGAAGTAAAGAAGTATCACAAAGTATACTTAGAAAGACTTTGTTTTTGAGAAAAAAACATTGATTGTATAAGTTTACAACTTTTAGAAGGCTTTGAGCTTTGAGCTTTGAGGCTTTGAGCTTTGAGGCTTTGAGCTTTGAGGCTTTGAGCTTCGAGGCTTTGAGCTGCTCTCACCTCGAGATTTGCTCTGACTTGTGCTCGATGAGCTTCGATCGATTCGTTGACGCGTTGCTTGAACTCGTTGACTCGGTCAATGACCTTTTGTCGCTGAAACTCCAAATAAAGTACAATTATACAAGAGTACAATTGCAAAGATTACAAAAAGGAAAGGAAAGTAAAGGAAAGTAAAGGAAAGTAAAGTAAAGGAAAGTAAAGGAAAGTAAAGGAAAGTAAAGGAAAGTAAAGTAAAGGAAAGTAAAGTAAAGCAAAGTTTATTTGAGTAAAGTCAAACCTGAGCCTCTTTTGCAGCCGCGTAAGCTTGCTTGTACTCTTGAGCGGCGGCAACAGCTTGCTAAACGAATAATCGAATAATTGGCGTTGGTGAGAAAACCTAAGCCTAAGCCTAAGCCTAAGCCTAAGCCTAAGCCTAAGCCTAAAGCCGTTCTCCTACCTGAAAGACTTTCTCGGTCTCAGCTTTGTAATTGTCGATCATTTGTTGTTTGAGCATCTCCAATTGGAGAGCTTTTTCCGCATCTTTAATCATCTTGTCTTTCATGATCTAAACAATAGTAAATTCTAAAATTTAACCTTCTATCGGTTAAAGCGGCGATTGGAAATCGGATTCTTTTACTAGAATGACCATCCAATGGCTATCAATGACCATTCAATGGCTTTTGCAAGCAATACTGACTTGCTTGATTCGGGCACCCCACGATGCGTAGAGTTCCTCTTTGGCTGCTTCGGCTTGCTCGTGGACATTCTTGATTTGCTCAAAAGCGGTGTCCTCGATAGCCTTGATCGACTAAATATCATTCTTGGTACTTGCTACAAGAATTACAAAATACCTGTCGATCCTTTCCTTCCCGTTGGCAATTTAAAGTTTTTCGTGTTTTTATCAGCACCAACCGCTCGATTTTGACCATTTTATCCAGCATTCGATGCAGAATCAAATTACGCATCGAATGATACCAAAATCAACTCAAAATATAATATCCACGCAAAGTCGTTGACTAAAAACGTAAACCCGGTTCATTATGGGCGAGGCTAAACCTTTTGCCTCATAACTTTGCGTGGAGATTATATTTTGAGTTGGTTTTGATATCATTTAACGTGTAATCTTATTCTACATCGAATACTGGATAAAATAGTCAAAATCGAGCGGTTGATGCTGATAAAAACACGAAAAACTTTAAATTGCCAACGGCAAGAAAAGGACCGACAGGCATTTTCGTCACAAATTTACTTGCTACTATTTTCGACCATACTTTACATTTTATCGCAAGATTTGTATACAAAATGTGGTCGGAAAAAAAGTAAAACAAGTACATTACAGCCTACTTGTTGCGATTTCCGACTACAGTTTATATTTTGCCACAAAAGTAGCTTTGTGGTTGTCAAGAGTAAAGAGAAGTCAAGAAAGAGAAGTCAAGAGTGAAGTGTGATCGAAAATAGGCTATAGCGTACTTGTTTTAATTTTTACCGACCACATTTTGTATGCAAATTTTCTCAAATGGTGTAAAATGTGGTGGGAAAAAAAGTCACAAGTACCCATTCTTAATTGATTGATTTAAAAATTAACCAACATTCATGTAATCAGAGAGGCTGACATCTGACAATTGTTCCTAAAAGAGGCAAGTAATTTGATTTCAAGAATCGTTCTCAAACCGGTGGCCCGGCATTGGCGGTGTTGGTGTCAGCTAGTTGAGAGCACGCGACTCCAACGAAAAATAATAGTAATATCAATTGTCTCATTGGTTCTCGGAATCTGAAATGACAGTTCTGCTTTGCATGAAAGACAAAGAATGTTAAAGTTTGAAGTTTTAATGTTAAAGTTTGAAGAGCTGGTAAACGGTGTTAACTGGTAAACAATTAACTGGAACTGGTAAACAATTATAAAACAAAAAAACGGGCTATTCACCATTCAGAAGCGGTTGTTGAACCTTTTATTTGCGCCCCGCTCCTTTTGCCATTGGCAATCTAACTTTGAGCTTAAATAACTTGGTGTTGAGCTGTTCAATTTAGATATTCTTGATATCATTGAATGCGCCAAGTCTTTCTCTGTCGATTGGTACAAAAATGACTTAAATTGGACCACCCAACACCAAGAAATTTGAGCTCAAAGTTAGATTGCCAATGGGCTCAAATTGAGCTCAAATATCTTGGTGTTGAGCTGTTCAATTTAGATAGTTTTTGTACCAATCGACAGATAAAGACTTGGCGCATCTAATGATATCAAGAACATTTAAATTGGCCCACCCAACACCAAGATATTTGAGCTAAAAGTTAGATTGCCAATGGCAAAAGGGGCAGGGCGCGTCAAATGTCCGAAAACCTTTAGAAGTTAAATAAGCAAAGAAATATTTTCGGGAATGACGATGAATGTGTAATAAAGGGTAAATTTAGACTAGAGCTTAATGAATGGAATTGAAATAGACGGAGAAGCAAAACGCTGATCAAAAATTATGGCCTAAAAGAAAGGGCATTGAAAGAGGCACAAACTAGAGAGCCATCAGTGAAAAGATAGCTTGTTTTTGGTGTCTATTTTGTGTAAATTTGTGTAAATTCTTTATTTTTAATTCACAGGGATTTTCAACTAATGTAAGCATTAAACTAGTTTAATTTGAAATCTCCAAACTAAGTTGGAAAAGTTAGAAATCAACTCTAACCTTAGAGTTGATTTCTACTCTAACCTTAGAGTTGATTTCTACTCTAACCTTAGAGTTGATTTCTAGCTCTCCTGTCCTACCTTGGCTGCCGTTCTGACGTTTACTTTGCGCCAGAACACTCAATATTTCGTTATTTTTCTTTTATTGGACCATAGACCAAAAGCAAATCATAAAGATCATAAAGATTGACAATCTTTATGATTTTAGTGTCATTTTGTTGCACTTCTTGAGCTCTACAAAATGACACCAAAATCATAAAGATTGGCCTACTTAGAAGAAAGTTATGGCAAGTTGTGCAAAAAAATTTCGGGCAAAGTAGCCACCGTTTTGACACCTGACGCGGCTCCAAATACCTAAATAACCTAAGTACCTAAACAATTACTATACAAAAAAGTAGCAAATAGCTTAGGGTTTCTAAATTTATAATTTAAGTATTTACAAGTGTTTTATTCATGATCGGGTCATTATTAAAGGAATTCTTTAAGATCAAAGTTTGGCTCAAAGTTTGGTTCAAAGTCTGGTTCAAAGTTTAGTTCAATGTTGGCTCAAAGTTTGGTTCAAAGTCTGGTTCAAAGTTTAGTTCAATGTTGGCTCAAAGTTTGGTTCAAAGTTTGGCTCAAAGTTTGGTTCAAAGTTTAGTTCAAAGTTTAGTTCAATGTTGGTTCAAAGTTTGGTTCAAAGTCTGGTTCAAAGTCTGGTTCAAAGTTTGGTTCAAAGTTTGGCTCAAAGTTTGGTTCAAAGTCTGGTTCAAAGTTTGGTTCAAAGTTTGGTTCAATCTTGGCTCAAAGTTTGGTTCAAAGTTTGGTTCAAAGTTTGGCTCAAAGTCACAAGGAACTCGTCCAGGAGTCACAAGGAACTCGTCCAGAGGCTCTCGAGTTTTGAAGTTCTATAGAATTGCTAATTTTGAGTTTCTGAGTAAAGTATCGAAGTAAAGTGTTGGAAAATAAGCAGTAAACATTATCAAAAAAAGTTTTATGAGTGCTAGAGTTAGCTTTTCCTCATAAAACCAGTGCTAGAGTTAACCATTCCTCATAAAACTTTTTTTGAGAATGGTTAACTCTAGCACTGATTTTATGAGGAAAGGCTAACTCTAGCACTAGAGAAACTAGAGAAAAAGTACCGATAATTCTTGAACTAGACTTAAACTAGACTGTAGACTTAAACTACCCAAAAGTAAGCCCGATTTTAAATTGCAAAAGTCGAGAAGAGATCTAGAATCTATCTAGATCTAGATCTAGATCTAGAAGTAAACCTTCACAGTTGGCAGACAGCGCTGATCGCTTAATACCAGAGAAATTTCCCAATTAATCCGAATATTTTGTGTCGAGGAAAACACGTGAGTGAAATGGGTGAGAGGGGAACTTGTTTAGGTTGTGTCAATATGAATGAAAGGAGCCATCCTTTGATTACGCCTCAATGTGATGCCTCCTTGTTTGTTATCAAGTCGTGCTTTGTAGCCAATCATGCACATTATTGCCCCTTTTCTCGTTTTCTCAATACTTTTGCCTTATTGACGCTTTGAAGCAAAACAACACATACTACCAGATTTATGAGGGTTTACTCTTCTCAAAAAGAGTTCTTCTCAAAAGAATTTACTTCCAAATTTGATATCCGAGATCGAATACAGCTGATTTGAGTTTGAGCTATTGATTTGTCAATCAAAATAGAGGGGAAACACTTTGATGTAGTCCTAATTAAGTCCAGCTAATTGCTAACTACAACATTTGTATTGGGTTGGGGAGAATGAGTCGGCGCCAAACTTTAAAGGGACTTTTTGCACACATAAAACCTTCTTTAAACATACGTTTGGTTTCATCAAAAGGATCCACTATTTCTCTACAAAATCACTTTTGAGAGATTCCACAAAGCTTTTCTTTCGTGGAGTTTATGAACTTCCAAACGCAGCTGGTTAAAATGGCAAAGAGTCCGACTCATCATTTGAACAGTTTCTTTCACATAAACCTTCTTTGGTGTTTATATAAAAAAGATAGAGCACATTCAATTACTTAAGTTGCCAAATTTGCAGGAAGATCCCACCAATGGTTTTTTCTAGATCACAGTTTGTAGTTTTTGTGAAAAAATGGCTTTTTCTTGAGCGGAGGCGCTGTTTGAATTTTCTTTTAAATGTCATTTTGTAGAGAATTAGTTAACCATTCTACTCATATCAAACGCATATTATTTCACGAAGTCGAATAGAAGTTTTAGACATTTTTTTGATTTTCGGCGCCGACTCATTCTCCCCAACCCAATACTTTGTTTTATGTTTTATGTAAACAACGTTTTATATAATAAAATAGACAAGATTCATACTTCAAATTGAAATCAAATATATAATAAGCTGGGGTAAGCCCAATCAGAATTCGGGCACAGCCCTGGGTCTTGGCAGGTCCAGGGACCAGACTTTGGACCAGACTTTGGACTAGACTTTTTGTCTAACTTTTGCTAGACTTTGTCTAATGTCTAGAAAATTGATTCTGGAATAAATCTGATTGAATCCAATTTTAGAACTTGTTTTAGGTTATCGGGAATTTGAGACGCGTCCCGCTCCTTTTCCTATTGACAATCTGACTTTAAGCTCAAATATCTTGGTGTTGGGTGGTCCTACAAAATGACAAGTGACAATGAAAATGAGTAGTTAGCAATTGAATCGAAAAACTTTCAAAGCCAATTTTTGACCGCTTCTTCCGAAGCTGTTCTTCCGCAAGCTCATTACTCATGATCCGGAATAAATAATAAGCAAAAGGGGCGAGGTCAGGACTGTATGGGGAATGCGCCAAAAGTTCCCAAACAAGGCTGTTTAGATCACAAAAACAAGATCACAAAAATGCTTTCCCTTTATGAAATTGGCCTTGCTGTTGCTGAAGATTTTTTTAAAATCCTATCATTTTTCATAAACGGTACGTTTTTCTGAGTTGATTGACATGTCACACGTAAATTTTCATCAGAAAACGCACTTCATTTCTCACACATACATTTGACCTATAATATTGGGTTGGTGAATTGAAAACTACGCGACTTTGAACTAAAATTTGTTCAACATAAAACCATGAATTCATTCCAAATAATTTTCATTATTATTGACGACTTCTACCCATTTTACAGGCAATTTGCGGATTCCTCTTTCGTAGTAGGATTTTGGTTTGTGTGTGAGACAAGTGTGAGACTCAAAAATGGAGGACTGGAGATGGAGACTGGAGATGTCCCAGTTTGAGCACTTTCTTCAAAAGAAACCCATTTTGGTGTCAATAGAAAAGTTGTAGAGAATCAAAAATTAGGCTTATAGCCAAATTTCCAAAAAGATAGACTTAGTAGTTTCGCTTAAAATGCAAGTTTTGTTGCAAGTTTTGTGAAAATTCGTAATTTTGGCGTAAATTTTGCATTTCTGCAAAACCAGTTTGAATCGTTCTGAAAATTTGGATATAAGCTTGATTTTTGATTGTCTAAAACTTTTCCATTGACACCAAAATGGGTTTCTTTTGAAGAAAGTGCTCAAACTGTCACATATGACAATAGCCGGCAGTTTTCAATTCCCCAGCTCAATAGAAAAAAAAATTCTTCACATAGAATCGACCGTGATTATCGTTTTAATGTAATTGGCATTAGTCAGTCAGGCATTAGTGTTGAACAAGTCAGGAAATGCAAAAGCAGCAAGCTTGGATTCAGATTCTTGGAGTGATGTTTGGGCTTCCACGAGACGGAGTCCAGTATGCATTCGCCGATCCGAAAGCGAAACTTTTGGAGGCAATTCTGAGTCAAATCGAAGTCAAATCTGAGTCAAATCGAAGTCAAATCTGAGTCAAATCGAAGTCAAATCTGAGTCAAATCGATGACATTCACCAACCCAATCTTTGTAGTTTTTCCAAAAGTACTTTGACTTGACTTTTTCGAAATCTTACGTGACTCAATTTTGCGAGAACAAGCATCCGCTTCTTTTTGGTGTCATTATGTCGAAATTCTTCTCAAAATCCTATCTTTATTTCGTCAGTATTCTCTAGAAAACTGATCAACATAGATAAAATTACAATGTTGATGTTTAGCCAGCAAATAACTCGGTTCTGTTCCATTCTAGAAAAGAAAACCCATTTC